CGGGGGGGGCGGGGGCGGGGGGGCGGGGGCGGGGGCGGGGGCGGGGGGCGGGGCTACCAGCCAACCTGGGACTTTGTGCAGGCCAGGGACTTACCAGGGGTCCTCAGTTCACGGAATTTTTTTTTTTTTTCAAGATTTTATTTATTGACAGAGAGCACAAGTAGGCAGAGAGGCAGGCAGAGAGCGGAGGAAGCAGGATCCCCGCTGAGCAGAGAGCCTGAAGCAGGGCTCGATCCCAGGACGCTGAGATCATGACCCAGCCGAAGGCAGAGGCTTAACCCACTGAGCCACCCAGGTGCCCCCATGGAATTTTTTTTTTTTTAAGGAATTCATAGATATATTAATGTTAACTACATTTTAAAATTTCTAGCTCCTCAACTCAGCAGTCCCCTTTTTACAAATTGGTTAAAATGTTCAAATACTTTAAATGTAGTCTATATATGTAATATCCCCCTTTTCTTTTTCAAATACGCCTCGTCTTAAACAAAGCCTTCGGAAACGCTGACGGCAGTCCTGCTCCACTGTCAACACACGGAGCCAGGATTCCTGCGGTCCCGTACTCTGTGTAGCGTCAGGTTTTAGCTTTAGTTCTGAGTCCCAGCAACTACTCAGCACACGGTGAGTACAAGAGTGTTACTCTAATGGAATTTCTGGAACAAGCTGCTAAAATCCCAAACACGCTTGAATTCTCAGCACAAAAATGTCACTACTGTGACCGTCTCAGCACTAAACATTCCCAGGACTGTGGGAGGTAAGCCCTCCCAGGCGGCTCCCAGACTGAGATGATGGACTCAGGGGAGGAGTCAGACACCAGAGGAGAATGAGGACGAGGTCGCAGCCCCCGGCCCGGCCTCACAGGGCAGCCCTCCCACCAACAGGGGAGCAGGTGCCCTGCTCACCTTTGTCACCTGGGGTACAAGAAATGTCTCCCCAAGGCACGCAGCTTGAAGAAAGCTTGGAGGTCAACAACACAGATGGCCGAGGGAAGCGGCATCTCTCAGAGCCCTGGGACCACAAACCTGAAACAAAACCCTGTCACCTTCCAGATTTCCCACAACTGACTGGCAGGTGTCCCACACAAAACACTTGAGTGACAGAGCATGGGACACACATGCAGAACTCCGGGACAGCAGCAGGGAAGACCCCTTGGAGGGGCCATCTGACCCGGGAGGGGAAGAACGAGATCGGTCCATGCAGGGCATGCTGGGGCCAACTTGGGACTGGAGAAGAGCCTAGGCAGGCGTGGCCCCAAGACCCCTCCCCCAAACACACAAACACGCTTGCTGGTGCCTGCAGCCAGGGTCCTCCCCGCCGCCCCCACCAGAGCCCATCACAGGCTGCAGCCTGAGGCATGAGGGGAGGCAGGAGCCACTGGCTTCAGGGTGGGTGCAAGGCTACGAGCCCCATCGCCTGCAGCTCCCGCACCTTCCTCCCAAGTGCCACTGACCACAGCACCAGCCTCCCTGGGCCTGTCCTGGGAAGAAGACCAAGCTCTGCAGGGGCAGCCTTGAGGCTGACCTTGACCTCCACATTCTGTCCCCTCCTCAACTGGGAAGTGGCAGTGCTGTGACCCATTCCTGGGACACGTTGAGAATGCAGCCAGGTAGGATGGGGTCAGCTGAGCCGAGCACCCAGGCATCCCGACACACTCACCCCAACACTGCCCACTGCACTGACATGCCCCCCACTCGCCCTGACTCCCCAACCATCCCACCCCCCTGCACTCTGGAGGGATTTTTTATTCACTTCCTCTGGAAAACCTCTGGCCCCAGGTCAGGATGGGGTGCCCTGTGTACTCCTGTGTCCGCGCTCTCTGGCCCTCCACCAGCGCCACACAGCTGGTGTCCACTAAATATCTGTCACCGTGGTCCTGGGACCAGCAGTGAGAGCTCGGGAATGTCTGAAGGCGCCAGGGACAAGGGGCAACCACAGCACCCAATGTCCAGGGAACTCAAGGGAGGGGGCACATGGCCCTGCAATGGCCCAGGCCTGGGGCCTGGCGAAGACAGGTGTGACGGGCGCCGCAGGCCCGAGCTGCAAGAACGAGGAGACACGGAGGCGTTAACAGACTTTATGTGCCTGCCCCAGCAGCAGTGGTGGCCTCCCATGTCTCATTTCTCCAAGAAGACTTCGCACTCAGCTCTAGCTAGACCCTGGCTAGACTCAGGGACATGAAAGATGAGAGCTTCCTCCAGTCACCAAAAAAGGCAGGCTGTCATTAACATCCCCAAATCTCAAGCCAGGACAGACACTGTCTGTCAGCCTCCCCGTGGCACTGGTGGGGCGGAGCTGGGCTCAGAAGGGGAGAAGCAGGACTCAGAGCCAGGGCCCAGGCAGCTGTGCCTGTGGGTCCTGCAGAGCGATGAGCCGGTCGGCCTCCCTCCAGCCAGACAGCAGAGCCCCGTGCGTGGTGGAGTAAAACGTGCGATGTGTGGCTTCCCCTGCAAACAGTATCTGGAGCTGCAAAGAAAAGCCGGGGTTAGCACAGGGTGCCGGGCATCAGGCCACAGCCGCACGCCTCTCACTGTGGCTGCAGAGCTGATGGCAAGTGTGTGGCTTTATTGTTCACGAATCCCACTGAGCTCTGAGCCGGTCAGGAAGCGTGAGCAGGAACACAGACAGCAGCCACTCCCACGATCAAGAGAAATTGCAAAATGGAAACCCAACAGACGGTTTGGGATGCGATGTTAAGGACTTCACCCAAAACACAGAGTGAAAACCCAGAGACATGGAAGTTAGGAGGGAAAAAGATTTAAAAAAAAAAAAAAATGAGGACCAGTCCCCCATCCAAACAACAAAATCCCACAAAAGAGGGAAGCAGCAGAGAAGAAGAACAGGGAGCTGAGATAATTCCAGGCTTCCTAAGAGGTAAGAAATGAAGGACGCTGAATGGCTTCGGACTTTCCGAGCAGCACTAAAGAACGTGTTCAGAATGCTGAGGGACGTGCCCCTCAAACTAGGGTTGGCGCCCCACGTGCGGCTCATATGGGGTTACGAGTTCCTGGACACGCCTCCCGTAGAGAGGCAGGGTCTGTGTCCTGACCTTGAATCTGGGCAGGCTTGTGACCACTGTGCAGTGGGGTGTGGCAGAGTGGCACTTCCTGACATCCTAGCTGGGCCACAGGAGGCAACGCAGCAGCCTCCTCCACGGGAATGTCTGGGCCACCATGTGGGCAGCAGCAGCCGCGCTGTGAGGAAGCCCGAGCCACTCAGAAGCCACAGGCAGGGGGTCCCATCAGTGTCCCAACCCAGGGCAGCCGCGCAAGACGAGCAGCCTCAGACGACCCCCACCCCAACCCCGAGTGACCCCGGCACAGGTCAGGTCTTCCCCACTGACTCCCCAGACATCATGGACAGAAACAGATGGTCCCACGTGCCCACCTACAGAGCCTGTCGGCATAACAAAGTGGTTGTTCCCACCACTGGGTTTTAGGGTGGTTTGTTACATGCTGGCAGGACTGGAACATGCAGTCTAAGGGGAGAAGGACATTTCCACACAGGTAAACTTTCTCTAAAAACTCACCTCCCCTATCCCCCTCATCAGGGAGCTACTGGAACAAATGTTCCAGAAAGTGCATGCATGGGGCAGGCGGGACACGGGGCGCAGGACAGGCGAGGGCTGTGCGTCAGGAGCTGAAGCTGACTCGGGGATAGGGGAGGAGGTGAGAGAGGACGGAAGGAGTTAGCAGAGTCCAGGCAAAGATGGGCACAGAAATCGGAGCCCTGCACACTCCCTCCCTCGTGCGCGCAGTCACACTCACTTGCACATGCCACAACTCCACACACCTGCCCAGAGACTCACAGACACACACGCATAAAGTGTCGCACAGTTGCACACTCGCATCTACAGACAGGAAAGGAACCACAGTGTCCTTCAGGCCAGATGTGCGTGGGGCCTGGAGCAAAGCAGATGACGGAAACACTGAACAGTGGCCTTACTAAGAGCACTGCGCCACACATGGGGAGGCTGGGGCAGAGCTGAGTGCTGGGTGGGCAGAGGAGGGCAAGAGACCTAAAACCCTACCTGCCATAGGGAAGACCTAAAACCCTACCTGCCATAGGGAGAGTCAGTCAGGGATGCCGAGAACTGAAAATCCGAGGAGCAACATTATGGAACAAGCAGACCGTGAAGCGATCATGAGGCACTTGGGAAACGGAGCCCTGAGTTTCAGATCATACAGAGAAATTTTCATCATTTTTAACTGGGACAACGTTGCTATAGTTACACATCTTCCGAGGACGTCCTCTGTCTTTAGAGACCCACTCCGGGGTGTCTGCAGTAAAACGATGTCGTCATCCCATGGTGTGGGGGACGGGCCATGGCTGCCACTGCACAGCGTTGAAGCCGCAGACGTGGCCCAAAGGTCTGGCCGGCTCGTGCACAGACCCGAAGTTCTCCACAACCCAGTGTTTTGTAAAAAGAGGCAGATGCATGTGAGACTTAGAGATGGGGTATGTTCGGAGCTGAGCCTTGGCTCCGAGGGCCTGGAAGGGGGGGCTGGAGGCCCTTGACAGCCGCTGCGGTTTGTAAGTTTGTTATTTGTACCAGCACTGCAGGGTTTTCTGATGCTTTAGGCTACGTGCATGTAAAATTCTGATAAAATAATGCATATTTCACGATTCCTAATTTCAGAAAGCACAGAGACCTAGTGCAGGGGTCCCAGCCCCACCCACGCCCGCCTCACCTGTGCCTCGGCGCCATCCGTGGGCAGGGGCTGCGCCAGCTGGTTGATGTCGTCCCCGGTGCTGCCCACGGCCACGTAGCTGTAGGAGCCCCTGGTGTACGGGGCGCTGTGCCAGCGGGAGCGCAGCATGCTCCTGGGCGCAGGGAGCTGGGCATTTCCTGCGCCCAGAGACGCCCGTCAGTGTGGCCCCACTGCCCTTGGCCCCATTCCAGCTTCAAGATCCCACGGTTTAAACCGAAGGAAACCACCCGGGAAGTAAACCTCACCACGAGTCTATTCCTCAGAAGCTCTCCCCGTCTTACCACTTTGCTTAACTCAGGACACCCAGAAACAGAAAAAGGCAATGGAAAGTGTTTGCAAAGCCGTTTCAGTTCCTCAGACATAAGAACCGAGTGACCCCACTCACAGCAGGAGGACTGTCCCTGGAGGGTCAGAGCACCAAGCTCGTTCTTGCAAAGCTGGGCTCCTGTCCGGAGATGGCCAGCGAGGAGCGCCCGCGGTGCCCGGCCACACACGCTCCGTACCTGTCACCCTGCGAAGCACTTGGGTCAGAGACAGAAGCACGTCCTCGTCGGACAGCGTCTCCATGAACTCAGCCTCCAGCCCGGCGATGAAGCCGCAGAGGACGTGGACAGACCTGCTGGGGAGACACACGCTGAGACGACTTGCAGCCAGCTCACCTGTGCTCAGCCCCCGAGGCACCCCGACAGCAGGTGCGGCCCACAGCCCACCCTCCGGGGTTCCAGCCCCCAGGGACTGTGAGGCCACAACCCTTTCCACAACGCAGAGACAGTGTTTGCTTTTCCTACTCTGTCAACATCCACGCTGGCGTGCAAGACCCACAGGAGTGAACGGCTGTCCCTTCGCAGAACTGGGACCAGCACATAGTGTTCTGCTGTGACATGTGCCCCATGAAAAATAAATAGGTGAACAAAAACACCAAATTCACTTGGGAATGTCCTAGATGAAGCCGCGCATGCCATTAACTGTATCAAACCTCAAGTCCTGACCGCACGCCGCTCACATTCTTCGTGACAAAACGAGATCCGGCACAAAGCACTTCTGCTGCACGCTGGTGTGGCACCGTCTTCAGGACAGCCCTGGGCGGTGGCTGGAGTTGCCAACTGCGTAGCTCCTCTCACAAACACTGTTTCTACTTGAGAGAACGCGGCCGGTATTCAAGCTTGGGTGTGTGGCAGCAGGTTCTCAAAAACGAGCAGTGTGTCCATCACGAGGAAAACAACTGCAAGCATTTACTGCCAATGAAGAAATTTAAGCGCTCAAGCAAAAATTACAATTTTAGAAAACTTGTATCTGCCACCAACAGCTTGATAGGTTCCCAATACCAAGAGACTTTCCTGAGATCTGTGGTGATATTAATAAACGTAATTCTTTGAGGTACATGAAACAGATCAGTGTCTGGAATGCCCAAGCTAGGGACGTGTGCAAGAGCCATTCAACGTGCAGCGCAGGCAGCAGAGTTCGGAGCACAGACGTCCACGACGAGCTTCCAGACTCCAGACGGTGCCTGACCCAGGAGGAGCGACTGCGTCTTCAGTTTCGGTGCCATTTCACAGAACACCCACAACCATCTGAAGACTAAGCACAACCCCTTCTCCAGACTGCGTGTCTGAGTCAAGATGTTTCATCTGCTTCAAGTGGAATGAGACCCAGCCCCACTGCCTTCCGACAGCCTTGAGAGCCGAGCTGTCCGGGATCACCCCAGACGGTAGAGGTGAGGAAAAAAGGCAAAGCATCGCTACTCTCCTCGCTAAACTTTGTTTTAGAAATATAGTTATTTTTCTTTAATAAACGTTAACATTATTTCATTTAAAAGATAACGGGGCCCTGGACGGCTCAGTCAGGCGACCGACTCTGGATTTCAGTTCTGGTTGTGGTCTCAGGGTCTTGAGACCCGGCCCCATGCCAGGCTCTGTGCAGAGTATGGCGTCTGCTTGGGATTCTCTCTCATCCTCTGCCCCTCCCCTCCCTCAAAAAAGATGCTATCTATGCTAACATGGTAGAGATTTACTCAGTTTAAAGAATAAACATTTGGGGCGCCTTGGTGGCTCAGTCGTTAAGCATCTGCCTTTGATCCTGGGGTCCTGGGATCCAGCCCTGAGTCGGGCTCCCTGCTCAGCAGGGAATGTGCTTCTCTCCCTCTGCTCCTCCCCTGCTGTGTGCTCGCTCGCTCTCTCTCTGTCTCAAATAAATAAATAAATAAATAAAATCTTTTTAAAGATTTTATTTATTTATTTAAATAAATTTAAAAAATTTTTTAAATTTAACAGTTTTCATTTCTAGTGTGGTAAATGTACAGACACGACCCACCTAACGGACGCTCTTTGGGAACCCTCAATATTTTTAGAGTATGAACCGGGGTTCAGAGACCACAAAGTGTGAGGGCCACCGTCCTGGACCACAGAGCGTCCCGAGGACTGTCGTCTCCACCAGTGTCCTGAGCACAGGCCACAGAGCCAGGGATGGGGCAGCGGGCCGAGCACGCCAGCCACCGCTCCACTACGTATCTGCAGCCCTGGGTACCTTTCCAAGCCCCTGGATGTCTGCTTTATCTTCGGTGCAAAGGACACGTGCAGGTCCCCTCCTAGGTGGGAGGGCCCCACGCACCCAGCTCCTTTGGCTATTGGGGATGAGCTTTGCTGGAAGGCATCCCTGCATTTTGTCCTCCAGGCCCAGAATATGGTCCCCAACCCTGCCACGTCTCTGTGTGGAAACTTGGACTCACATCTGCCAATCGACTACCACACACTGGCTATGTCTTTGGCTCTTGTGGGAAAAATCGTCCCTCCGTCCCTAAATGACTCATGGTCTTGTTTTCTGAGTCGGCACCAAGCCCACGCAGACTGCTTGATCCATGCGTCATAGCCACCCAACTTAGCCACGGATGGGTCTTTGACTCCTGAATTATAAGGAAACACAAAGGTGTCTCCTCAATTACTGCATCAGGTTGAAATACTGTCTCCCAGTTACAGACCCTTCCATGTTTCAAATTCCTTCTGTAACCTACACACCCCAGCTTCCTGGGAATTTCAGCAAACACTTTCTTACTGATTGAACACACCCTCCCGGCCACAAGCTCATTCTAGCACCTAAGACACGCCAACAGGCTGCCTGCAAGAGGCTTCCATCCAGTCCTGCAGTGGTTAGAGCCCCAGTGTCTGTCATCAGTGCTCTTGGGTGTCCTTGGAATTCCACCCAGAAATCCCCCAGAAATGCCTCCCAGTGAATCAACAGCCAAACTAAGGCCAACGAACCAGCTCCTCAACGCTCACCCCTGACGGGTCCTCAGAGAGACTCAAGCAGCATACATACTCAAAGGAAGGCAGGACCAAAAAGCCAATGAGCTTCTTGAACCAGACGTGCCGCAGCTCAGACGCGACGTCCTCCAGGGGTGACATGTCCTCCCATACCACCTGGATGTACTGGCAGTCTGGCTCCCAGAAGGGCTCCTCAAACTCCAGGAAGATTTTATTATTGGTCCCAAAGCCCATTTTCCTGATCGCTTCTGCCTTCTCAGTGGGCAGTGGTGGTTCAAAGAAGGTGTCCAGATGTTCTTTAAGAAAACCTGGAATTCACAAGTGGACTCAATTTACACCACGTAAATCTCATAAACTGGAATTGACAGCCACAGGAACCCACCCAGATGCCCATTAGAGGAGTCAGCAAAAGGAGGCATCCAGAGCCCATGTCCACTCGGGACCCACACCAGCCCCAGCTCAGCTGAGCTCCCAGAAATCGGGCTGGCTCTGGCCACTGGGACTCGGCCTCAGTGATCAACACCGCAGTGGAGGGACATGAAAGGCCCCATGGACACCTGCTCAGGCAGGCAGAGTTGTCAGGCCCCACCCAAACTGCTCTGTAGGACACTGTCTCACTTCGAAACCCATCTGCCTCTCCATGTCTGCAGACCCCGCTGCTCCAGGATAGTGTGGAGAAGCACCACGACACATGGGCTCTCTCCAGAAGCCACAGGAAAAATAACCTGCATGCCAAAAAAATTTAATTCTGGGCCAGAGTCAGACAACAAGATGGACTGTTTGCAGCACAGTCTCCTTACAACACAGATAACTTGCAAGCCAGTAAGTAAAGGACAAACAGCCCAGGAGGAAACAGACCCACAGAGGCTGCAAGGGCCCACAGAGGGGTCCCACGCCACCCCCCACAGTCCCATTTGCCCAGACCCTCAGCCCAGCAGCTCCCACCACCGTGATTTATGCCACAGATACATTCACACAAGTGTTTGTGTTTCCATCACACAGATGGAAAATGCTTTGTGAGACAAAAAAAGTGAAAATAGGCTGAATTTCCATCAACTAAGGAATATTCAGCAACGACCCTCACGTACAAGGAAATACTATGTGCCTATAAAGAACCAGTGTGACCGGTGTCCCCGCTCCCGGTGAGCAACCCCAGCAGACACAGTGACGCATCCACTGTTGAGAGCAAGGGCTCCGCAGGCAGCCCTGCAACTGTGCATGAACACAGACACCGGCGGGGGCTGGGGTGGGGGGTGCCGACTGGGCACATTGACAGAAGTCGTATGAACCGAGAAAGCAGGGGGCGGCAAACAGCAGCAGGAGACGATGCTAGTACGTCCAGTGTGGTTGCACGTGTGGGAGAGAGGAGCTGGGTGCTGAGCTAGCTAACCACAGCCCACATCCCATCCCGAAGGAGCCCCAGGAACCCACACCTTTCCTCAGCTCGGGCCCTGCCACTTTGTGAACCTGCACAACTAACTGCTGTCATTCTGTCCGCCTCTGTCCAAGAGGACAGGGACATACGCGTCCCCAGCTGCCTGCGGGTAAGTGAGACGGCACAGGCACAGCTCGGCTCAGCTGCCTCCACCTTTTGTCAAGTTGCCAAAAGAGCTTCTGTCTCGGGCGTCAGATCTAGAATCAAACAGAACCATATGCTTGATCCACTCCTTGATTACACCAGGACGGAACCTGAGAGCTGGCTCTCACACCCACTTCCGTCTCCAAGAAAGCCCAGCTGGGTGAACTGGAGGCCGTCCCAGCCTTCCCATAAACGTCCTTGGAAGGAGCAAGACACACATTTTCTCTCATTGTGAAACTCAATGCCAAAGCACGCAACTGCTACAAACACGAGAGAATAACCCTGTTGGGAGCTAGACTGAAAACGGGAGCTACCACCGGCCCCGGCCCCGGGGGTGGGGGACCAAAGGGAACCCTGACGGGGAAAACGGCTTTACCTAAGGGCACAGTGATGATGACGTGATGTGCAGGGAAGCAGGCTCCGTCCTCGCACTCCACCAACACTGGAAACGTCTCCCCAAGAGACAAGGCTTCCTGAAAGGACCCGTTCCAGTGAATGGTCTTCACAGGCTTGTTAAAAACAATCACGTCCTCTGGCAAGGAGGCCATTATGTGGTTTGTGAGCCCCTGGTAGCCCCTAGGAGACACAGAGGTGTGGGCGTTTTCAGAGGAAGCTGCCATCGGGGGAGGCCCTGTAGGGAAGGTGGGAGGAGGGCAGGGTCTCCTCGGAAACACAGACACCACCACCCAGGCTAACAAGGGGATCAGGTGAGCATGAGCAAATGGAGGTAATTATGGGAGGACAAGGCCTCCTCCCAACCCACCTGGAACCCTACTTCTGATCACAAATGCCCTCCCCTGCCGGGAGACTTGGGGTGGTGATGCCAGAGAGCCCAGCGGGACAGTCCTGTGAGGGCCTCTTGAGTGCTCGGTGGGGGGACAGCCACCCGCCACAGGGGTGGGCTATCTGTCCATCACAGAGGCTGGAGCCTTACGCAGCACTTAGCACATGAGAGGCCTCATAAACACGGGAGGAAGAAAGTGCGATGAAAGGTATGGCCTTCTTTTAATCATCTTTTAATCATTCTTTTTCCCAAGTGAGCAAAATTAGAGAAACAAACGGGCGATCTCTCTAAGACGAGGAAGACAAATGGCCTCCTGACCCTCTCACCCTTCCCCTACTTCCCACAGCTCAACCAGTAAATGGAAAGGGTCCCAGGGTGCACGGAGGGGAACCAGAGTACCTGGAGAGGGACCAGGGTCCATAAAGGGGGGGAGGCTCAGAGGGGACCTGGGTGCATGGAGGGGGTCCCAGGGTACATGAAGAGAGGCCCAGGGTACACGAAGGGGGACAAGGGTGCATGGAGAGGCCTGGGGTGCATGCAGGGGGCCCAGGGTGCCTGGAGGTGGCGCACAGAGGGCTGACTCGGTGGGTGGGGCATGCACATACCCAGGAAAGGTGCAGTCCAGCCCAGGCAGCACGGTGTACTCCCCAAAGGGCACGAGGGCCACCAGGTCCATGCTGTGGGTCCCGCTCACACAGCACTCCACGTTGAAGAAGCTGTTGAGGATGGCCAGCTTGAGCTTCCTGGTCTCCTCATCCTCCATCCAGCCAGCCGCGCGCTGTTGGATCTCCTTCTTGAGGTACTCCCCAACACTGGGCACTGGGGCGTCGGCTGTGTTTAGGAACTCCCGAGTCTGGTCTATGAGACCATAGAACAGACTCGCCATCTCCACTACCAGCTCACGGCTCACACTTACCCCAGAGCTGGCGTAGGACACGGAGGGCAGGCCCACATGACCCCCAGTTTCAATCAGCTGGTTCTCCTCTGACAAGTCCTTCTCTCTCAGCAGCTGGTACTTGGCAGCCAGCTGAAAGACCGGGTTGCCCTGTGAGGGCCCGTGGATCCAGTGGGCACCCAGCTCTACCACACCACCTGGCAGGAGCAGCAGAGGAGACTTGGAGGTTGTCTCCCCACAAAGGCCAACCCTGAGCCCTTCTCCGGGACCGCACCAGCCCCGCCCTCCCCAGGCCTGCTCTAAAAGCCCCACCCGAGGACACAGGGTCCCTGAAGACTACAGTCCTAGGGCCTGCTCAGACCTAGTTTAAGGGCAACATTTGGCCTGCGCCCGCCTTTAGAGGACATTTAGAGAGCCGCCACGGGAGCAGAAGGGGTGCCTGGGGGTGACCCGGAGGCTGGAGGGGGAGCTCCTCGAGGGACACAACCAGAAGGACTGCAGAGACACAGGCTACCGTCCGCGGCAGGGGCCGGCCCTGCCAACCGGACGGCTGAGTTTCGGGTACCAGTGAACTCGGCCTCATTAAGGCGGGGGCGGGTGGGCAGGCAAGGCTTCCGGGTCGGCCAACCCCGGGTGCAGGGCTGACCGAGCGGCGGATCCCGGGCCGCACCCGTTGAGTTCCGGAAATGGGCTCGGGGAAGGGGTTCCGGGAGAGGCCGTTACCGAAGCCGCGCTCCGAGCGGATGCGGCCGCCGGCCCGGGCAGTGGCCTCCAGGACCCGCAGCTGCGGGAAGGCCGGGTGGCTGCAGAGTCTCTGCGCGGCGCCCAGCCCCGCGATACCGCCGCCCACCACCAGCACCCGCGGGCCGCGGCCCGAGCCCTCCGCGCGGCCTCCGCTCGACTCCATCGCACCGTCCTGGGCAGTCCCCGTGCGCCCCCGCCGCCCGGAAGCGCGGAGAGCTCCGAGGACACCCGGCAGGGGCGGGAGGTGGGGCGCGGGGCGGGGCTGGACCGATGGGGCGATGGGGAGGGGCGGGACCGCGTCCGGGCACCCGACGTCCGGCAACGGGACTGGGGGTGCACCGCGAGCCGGGACAGGAGCGATGGGGAGGGGCGGGGCGAGGGCTCGAGGCGGACGGGAGGGGAGGAGTTGGAGGCGGGGAGAGGGGGGGCGGGGCGAGGGCTGAAGGTGGGAGAGGCGGGGCTGGAGGCGGGGCGATGGGGAGGGCGGGGCGAGGGCTCCAGGTGAATGGGAGGGGAGGAGTTGGAGGAGGGGCGGGGCTGGAGGTGGGAGAGGCGGGGCTGGAGGCGGGGCGATTGGGAGGGGCGGGGCGAGGGCTCGAGGTGGACGGAGGGGCGGGGCGGGGCTGGAGGTGGATGAGCGGGGCGAGGAGGGGCGGAGCGATAGCGAGGGGCGGGGCGGGTAGGTGGAGCGAGGAGCAAGGTGTGAGGCCATGCCCGGGCGGCTGCCACACCACGTGACCCTATGGGCTGGGTTTGGGGCTTCCGCGAGAAATGCAGCCCACGTTTCCGCTGCAGGGCGGAGTGTGGGCGAGCGCCGCTGGGTGGGAGTGTGCCCGCGGTCGGCCTGTGCGCGGGGCGCGGGCCTGCTGCTGGCCGATGTGGGCGCGTGTCCCCACGGAGGGAGGATAGCGCCGGCCGGGCGGCTCGTGTCTCCTTCCGAAGGAGACGTGGGAAAGGCGACCAGAAGGAGGAGGACGTGCCTCTCTCCTGCCGCAGAAAAGCGCCATGAGCGCCTTCGCCCTGGGACCCCGGGGAGCCTATGGATGAAAGTCCGAGGGGGACTGTGGTGTCAGGGTGCGGCGGGGAGAGCTGAGCACGTCCTAAGTGGGGCTCTTCTGAGTGTGTGTGGTCACAGGAGTTTATACATACGAGGTACAAAGTTCAAGAGAAAGGGTAAGTGAAGAACTTTCTCTCACGTGCCCCTTCCCCGCCACCCACCCCAGGAGACATTTCGTGCATATTCAAGCACGCAGGCCTTTCTAGAGAACTGCCCTAATTCAGGAAGGTCCGTTCTCTACTGTCTTGTGAGGGTTAGAAAGCTTCTGCCCTCTGCCCAAAGGCTTTCCTGTGACAGGGTGTTAGGGCTCGTCAGTCCTTCTTAGTCATGCGCTAGATGCTGCCGTCCTAACCCACCGGGAGGCTACTGTGGACTTTCTGTGGCCCCCTGTTCCAGCCAGTGAGGGTGGCCGGGATGGGAGGCTCTGCAGCCTTCAGCTACCACTCCTAAGTCAGCTCCAGACTGGGTAGATGGTCTTTCTGTCTGGGTTTTCCCCTCTCCATGTCCCAGAGGATTCCCTCCTGTCCCCCTGTGCGGGCTCTCCTTGGCCATCTATTCTTGTTTCTTAATTCACTCACCTGTTTGGGTGAAACTGAGAAGAGGTGTCTGGGAGATCATTTTTTTAACGATAAGGCAAACCTGAAAATGTCTGGGTTTCGCCCTCACACTTGACTTGTAGTTTGCCTAAGCATAGAACTCTAGGTTAGAGACCTCCTCCTTCAGGCTGTGAAGGCATTGTCTCATCCCTTCTAGGAGTGCGGTTAGGAAACTCACAGGCAAGGGCACCTGGGTGGCTCAGTGGGTCAAGCATCTGACTTTCAGCTCAGGTCACGATCTCAGGGTCATGGAGTTGAGCCCTGCATTGGGCTCTCTGTTCAGTAGGGAGTCTGTTTGTCCCTCTTCCGCTCTCCATCCCCCCATTCGTGCTCTCTCTCACTCTCTCTCAATAAATAAAATCTTAAAAAAAAAAAAAAGATTCACAGGCACTCAAATTTATAATCCTTTACCACAGTGGAGGCTTGTTCCGCCCTGCAAATATTTAGGATCATTTGCTGAAATTTCACAGTGTGGTGCCTCCATGTGTCTGGACTTTCACTATGTTGGGAACTCAAAGTCTGGAAACTCTGTCCATCAGCCCTGGGAGCTTCTTTCATAGGTTATTTCACTAATCAGTTGTTTCCACCAATGATTTATCCCCCATGTGCTGTTACCCTTTCTAAAATTCCTACTTTAGGGGCACCTGGGGGGCTTAGTCATTACGTGTCTGCCTTCGGCTCAGGTCATGATTCCAGGACCCTGGGATCGAGCCCCGAGCAGGCTCCCTGCTCAGCAGGGAGTCTGCTTCTCCCTCTCCCACACCCCCTGCTGCTTCCTCTCTCACCGTCTCTCTGTGTCAAATAAATAAATAAAATCTTAAAAATAAAAATAAAATGCAATTCCTACTTTAGGACGTCAGAGGTTTCAGACTGAACCTTGGATGCTCAGTGTACTCTCCTGTTTTCCACCTTTCCTGTTGCTCTGCTTTCGGCAGCGTTGCTCCCCACGAGGCTCTTGTTTTTGCTGTCACAGAGTTGAATTTCCAAGAGCTCTTCTTCCACACATGTCTGTTCTTAGAGAAATGTGCTGTTCTTCAAGGAGGCGATGTCTGAGGATATAAAAAGAAGCTCTGAAGTGGCATTCTCCTGCTTTGGGAGGTTTGCTCCAAATTGTTTCTTCTGTTTCTATCTTCCAGGAAGACACTTTACATGCTGACGGATAGTGCTTGTTTGCTCATGAGGAGGAACAGGCCAAAGGGCTGTTGGAAATAGGTTTGTAAGTGGGGCTCATTGAATTTGAGCTTGACTCTGCACTGCTCAGGGTGGGGAGCTGTTAAATGGGGAACCCCCCCAGTATCTCTAAGTCCTTCCTTTGGGCTGGCCAGGCTCCCCAGTAAGTGTCTTCCAGTGTCCTTTCTGCAGCATATAGGTCTGGCTGCTAGTATTTTTGAAGCCGAAGAATGGACAGGAGTGGGGAGGGTCAGCATTCTGGGTGCTGGAGACCCACCTCCAACTGTGCCTCCTTCCAGAATCCCTCTGTGCAAAGACAGATGTCCAGGCTGCTGCCAGAATGGCCCAGGGCCAGTACTGGTAATCGAACAGCTTCTTAAACATGAGGGAACCTGTTCAACAAATTCAAGGTGCTCAGAACTCACCCCGGAATAAAGACAAATCCCAGCCCTTATGGCATTCAGAAAATGGACATAGAAATATACATAAATATGTGATTCACAATGAAACATACATGCAAGGGCTACATGGGTTTTTGAAGAATGATGTTGGGAGAGGTGTTGCCATCGGCAGAAAGTGGTGTCTGAAAAACCTTGCAGAGTGCCCAGGCCAAGGCCGACCCCTCTCCTGATACTGAACAGTTTCTCTGGCTGGTCATATAAGAAGCCAAGCAGGTCAAGACGCCCATGAGTGACTGTCAGGAACGGCCTGCTGTCATTCTGCACCCATCCCAGCTCGCCGACAGGGTCCTTGACAGCTGGCTGTGCACTGCCCCCCGGCCCAGGGCTTGCGTCACTGTCACACAGGAAAAGCTCCTAGATGGCAACAGCCATCAGACTGTGATCTTCAGACCCTGAGTCTGAAGGCTTGCACCTGACTGCTGCACAGCCCCCAGGTGGGGACACAAAGCCCTGGGCAGAAACCGGAGGTCATGGGGACCCAGAACTGGGCTGCGGCACTGGGCCTCGAACCAGTTCACAGAGCTTACTGCCTGACCCCTGGCCTTGTCACTCAGCCGGACATCTCAGGCAATCGGACTGAGTCCGCATATGTTTGGGTGCAGTCACCCTGCCCCCAGTGTCACCTGTTTGCTGAGAGGAACAGCTCTCTCTTTAGGGGAAAATTTACCCCCCGCCAGCACCCGAAGCAAAGCTGCTGGCCCAGGGGGCTTCCTTCTCAGAGGTTCCCCCACATGCCTTCTGGTTCCCCCCAGGGTTCAACTCAATGTGTCACTGTGCAGCGGCCAGTGTCCCAGACGTCTGGTCTACGACTGGGGACACTTCAGCTCACAGATTAAAGATTCTTTGAGGTCCCAAACTCAGCAAAGTGGCCGCTGTTTTCTGGGTTTCTCGCAGGTATGCCCACGGTGAGGGCTGGTGGTGGAACCTGAGAGGCCCAATGGTTACCAAAGTGGCCTGTTCTTTTCCTACTCAAGACTTTGTGAAATAACCAAACGGTATTTCACAGCAAGCTGGTAATTTATTCAATGACCAGAGAATAGTGAAGGGGAGCTCAAGCTCTGAAGGTATCTTCTTCCTGATTTGGTGTCATGGTCAGGGTTATATGGGGTTAGGGTCATTAAAGGGCTGGTAAGCCAGCTGACTAGGGGTTTTTTAGGGAAGAAGAAGGGGGCTGTCTTGGATTCAGACTGCCACCTCTTCTTTCCCCTTAAATGGGTGCAGGTGGATTTGTCAGTGCACTAATAGGTGTTTGGGTTTTTTTTCAAGATTTTATGTATTTATTTGGGGGGCGGGCAGAGCAGCAGGCAGAGGGAGAGGGAGAAACACACTCACCGCTGAGCAGGGAGCCCGATGGGCTCGATTCCAGGACCCTGAGATCATGACCTAAGCTGAATGCAGAGGCTTAACCAACTAAGCCACCCAGGCTCAGTGTCTTTGTTATGACTATGACATGGTCATGATCCTGAGGTCATCTGCAAGGTTAGTGCAGTGTCTGAACTGAATCAGACTGGTCCAGAACTGGGTCAGTGGGGCTTCTTTGGAGTTATGGCTTCTGGCCTGCACCTTAGTTTCCGGTGGCAAGCTGCACCTGTAAGCAGGGCTGGAAACGTGGGTTTTTGTGGGCTGTTTGGAGCTTATTGGAGTCTCGAGTGACATGCCCACTGCCCCTGACAAAGCAGCCCTGTGCCTTCAGGGATATGACTGTGGGACCGTGAGGGACATGTCTGTATGCTCGTCCTCGGGTGAAAGAAGCCTCCTAGCACCGGCCATGGCCACTTTCAGCAGACCAGCTGGCTAGACACTGCCCTCTCTCCAGGTGACTGGTGATGACTCAAGGCTGCAGCCCCATTTTCAGGTTGCATCGTCACTGTCCTTGCCCTGTGAACTGGCTCTATCCCCCTTAAAATTACCCTGTGTTATGTTCCACTATCCTGTCCCTTTATAGTCTGCCAGTGGTCACCCAGCAGTTGGCCCTAGTGAGGGTATTCCAACACTTGCTGACACACTGCCTGTCCGGTCACAGCTATTCTAGTACGTAGGAAGTGGTGTCTGCATTTCCCTAGTGACTAATGATATCGAGCACCTCTGTGTGTGTGCACTGGCCACTTGCATATCTTTATTGGAGAAATTTCTGTCTGATCCTTTGCCCACTTTATAAAAAGCTTATTTTTTTATAGTGATCTCTGCACCCAACATAGGGCTCAAACTCATGATGCCAAGAACAAGAGTCTCATGTCCTTCCAACTGAGCCAGCCAAGCACCCCTCCTTTGCCCAATTTTTAATGGTTTGTCTTTTTATTATTGAGTTGAACATGTTCTTCAGATATTCTAGAAAGAAAACCCTTACCAGATATATGATTTGCAAAAACTTTCTCCCATTCTGGGGATTGTCCTTTCACTTTCTTCATGGTGTCCTTTGAAATACAAAAGTTTTTAATTTTGCTGAGGCCCATTTACAGATACACATATATGAAAATTAAGGATAGGAAACCTCACAGAATGGAGTCAGGAGGCCAGAGGGGGAGCCATATGGCTCCATGGTGAGCACAGAACCAACTGTGAGTTAGACCCCAACAGAAGAGCCCTCAGCGGGAGACAGTCAACCACGGCCCCACCACAAGAGGTGAATCTGCATATGCCACCAAAACTAGCCCACCCGGCGCCTCAGCCAGGAAGCCCGCATCACCTTCATCATCACCGTCATCGCTTGCTTCTCACCGGTGGACTTTAGTTCAGAGCAGTCCCTCAAATGTCCTCCTTCTCCTTTGTCGGACCGGCCCACGATTTTTCTATAGCTTGCATGTCCCTAATTGCAATTCTCTGCTATTCCCAAATAAACCCAACTTTCTGGTAAAGTAAGTGACTTTTATTTTGAAGGTTAATACAAAAATTTTGTGGGTTTTTTGTCACTTGTTCTTTTTTCCCTAACCTTACGGAAGACAACAGCTGCTCTCCTCCACGCCAGCCCGGGGGCTTAGAAGAACTTCTTTTAGGCTGGAACCGTTTCATTTCGTGTGCCTGTCCCAGTGGGGTGGCCCACACGGGCGCAGTCTCCGTGAGCACAGCGTTGGTCGTCTTGGCGTGAAAGTGAATAAAATTCTACCTCGGCCTCGGAACGAACTTTGCTGAGTATCCGATTCTGGTTTGAATTTTGTTATTTATTGGAAAATATCCGTCTTCCTTTTCATTTGTAGGCGTCTTCTGTCTTCGGCTGTTTGCAGAACCTGGGCGAGAATTCCACGGAGGCTGAGCACCGACGCGCCGTAGCGGAAGTAACGCAGGTGCACATACTGGTAACACTGTAACAGTCACTGAGTCACTGGAAACACTGTAAGGAACTATGCGTGACGTTGAACTCAGAAGCCACCGAGCTGCCGGCGGGGAGCACCGGTCGGGCGCGTCCTTCCCGTACACTCATCTCCCGGGTTTCGGTGGCTTCACGCGGCTGAACGACCCTCGGCGGCGCACACCGAGCGGAGCAGGGCGGCCCCGCGAGCACCCCGGCGCGGAGACACGGGCCGGGCTCGCACCGCAGGAAGCGCCGCTCGCTAAGGGCGGCGTCGGTACCCCCGCGGCGCTAAAGCTAGGGTCCTGGGGCCACGGTCCCTTTTTTTTTTTAGATTTTTATGTATTTCACGGAGGGAGTGAGAGAGGGCGCGCACACGCAGGGGGAGCGCAGGGGGAGGGGACAGGCAGGCTCTCCGCGGAGCAGGGAGCCCGAGGCGGGACTGGGGTCCGAGGCGGGGCTGGGGCCGGAGGCGGGGCGGGGGCCCATCCGGGACGCGATCCCAGGCCCCGGGAACCAGGACCCGAGCGGAAAGCAGCCGCACCCCGGACTGAGCCTCCAGGCGCCCCTTGCTGCCCCCGCCTTCTCCCGCCCACGCGCTTCCTCTCGCCGCGGCCCGTTCGTGCCCCGCAAACCCGGCTTCCGCGGACTTCGCGGGGTGCGGGGCGGGAAGCGTGTCCCCGGGGACGTGGGGAGCATCCGGCCCGGGTTCCGCCAGCTGCTCCCCAGCCTCCAGCCCGCAGGGCTCGTCCCGGAAGTAGGGGCAAGGGCCGAAGGCCAAAGGTCAAGAGGGGGCGCGGGCTCGCGCGGGGGTCTCTGCGGGCCGCAGGAGGCCGCCGGGCGTGCCCTCCGGGGTCCTCCGGGCGGCTGCTCCACTGCTCGGGGTCACCGACAGCCAGCACGGGGCTGCGGCACCCCACAAGGCCAAACCTCCGAACCCCGCTCCCGGACCCCCCGACCCCGCCCTCCGCTTGCCACGCCCCTTCCGCCGCCCGCAGGTCTCGCGATGCCGGCTCGGAGTCGGGCCGGGCCCTGACTGGCGCAGCCGGGGGCGGCTCCGCGGGGCGGTTCGGGGCGGGGCGAGCCGTCCCCACAGCGCCATGGCTGCCCTCCGCGCCCTGCTGCCCCGCGTCCGCGGCCCGCTGCGCCCCCTCTCCGGCTCCGCGGCCTTGCGCCCCTTCTCCTCGGGTGAGTACGCGACTGAGAGCGCGTGGGGGTCCGGCACCGCGGCCCGCACCCGGGACCTCCGGACCTCACTTCAGGGCCTGACCCCGGCCTCCCCGGGCACCCCCGTGCCTCGCCCTGGACCTCATCCCCTCCACCGGCCTGACCCCATCAGCCCTCCCCCTCCCCCTCCTCCCTGTGCACCCAGGGCCCGGACCCCGCGGCTCTGCTGTTAGGCTGGGCCCCCCTTCCAGCACCTGCTCCCTCAGCGTGCTGACCTCTGCGGTTACTGGTGGCCCCTCCGTTGGGGGACTCAGGATCACGTGCTAAGACCTCTAGCCTCTTCGGTTTGGTTGTTGGTGAACTTCTGCGGTGTTTGCAGGACTTGGAGAGAATGTGCAGCTGGGGCCTCGTGTTGGCAAAGTCGCGCGTTGTGTCCCGCAGGCCTGGGGCGCAGGCCTGCCCACGACTGCTTTTCCGACTCTGTCTCCCCCAGCTGGCCGGGCCTGTCCTCCGCTCAGCCCTCTGGTCAGGGCCGCAGTGTTCCTGAGGCACTCTTGGCCCTGTCCCCGAGCTGGGGTCGTCCCTGCATCCTCCTCCCTCCCGGGTGTCCCCGTACCTGCCCGGCTACAAGAGCGTGTTGATTTTCCTCGGAGCTCTCTTTGCTGACGGGCGTCTGCGGGTCTTGACCTGCGGTCAGCAGTCCTATCCTGGGCTGCATCAGGCTGCTGCTAAGCCTCGCACTTGCGTCCCTCCCCACCAGACCCTAGCCCTAACCCACAGGCACACAGACCTGAGGCTTCCAAGCTTGTCCTTCTTCCTCTCCAGGCCATGCTGGCCCCAAGTCAGCAGCCTGCCCCTCCGGCCCATGAGTCACCTCTCCCCGGTGTGTGCCTCCCGCTCTGCTCTGTGCACACACAGCTCGTTGCCTCACCCAGCTGCAGTCTGTGGAGGGAGCCTGTTTCCCAGCCCTTGCTTCTGCGGAATCCCAGGGTATCTGCAGAACAGGTGCTGGGAGGTGTTCAAACTCCTTTGAAGGTAGAGAGCGGGGCAGAGGCCACCACAAGGCTGAGAGCTGTGAGCTGCTGCCCGAGGACTGGGCGGGGGACGTATCGGGGACACCCTGTCCACTGACCTGTCTGAGGCCTGCTCGAATCCCCTAGGTGCGGGCTTTCAGTACATCATTGCAGAAAAGAAGGGGAAGAACAGCAACGTGGGCTTCATCCAGCTGAACCGCCCCAAAGCCCTGAATGCACTCTGCAACGGCCTGATCACCGAGCTCAACCAGGCCCTGGAGGCCTTCGAGGAGGACCCGGCCGTGGGGGCCATCGTCGTCACGGGTGGGGAGAAGGCGTTTGCAGGTGCGCAAGGGGCTGTCTGTGGCATGTTGCATTGTGAACACTTACCCCTGCGTGCTAGCATCAGAAAAGTCCGGGCAACTCAGGGTTTACTTAAACATAGTGTAAACAGACACAGAGCCGCTCTGCCTGTTTGACGTCCATGCGTGCGCTGCCAGCAGAATCAGATCATTCAAAGTGACTCGGGTCCTTGGCAATCAGGTTTTGTGTGTGTCAGGGCTTAAGTGACTGATGAACTAGCCCTGCCTTCCGAGTCTAGCTTGCATCAGTTTCCTGTCCCGCAGTCCCTCTGCATCCCCTCCATCAGCGCATAGCATGGCATGTCGCCACAGTCTCTGCCGCCCGGCTCTGTCCAGGTGGCCAGCACCACACAGGGCCCTGCGTCGTCGGCCATTCCCAGCAGCCCCCAGTGCCTACACGTGCTGCACACTCGTAGCTCCCTGTGGGTTTGGGGGGTGCAGCAGTCCTCGGGTCTCTGCTCTCTGGTAACTGGGACTCGTTTCCACCCCCAGCCGGAGCTGATATCAAAGAGATGCAGAACCAGACGTTCCAGGACTGTTACTCCAGGAAGTTCTTGAGCCACTGGGACCGGCTTGCCCAAGTCAAGAAGCCGATCATTGCTGCTGTCAATGGCTACGCTGTGAGTATCAGACCAAGTCTCCCCTCAGTGCACCGGGAGGCGTGGGATAAGCTATCTTTATTTTGAAAAGGTTGGAGTGTAGTTACAATCCCGCCGTTCCTGCCGAGGGACGTCACAGATCCAGGACGCACAGAGCGGAGGCGCTGTCACACCAGCTTTCCTTAGTGGGTGTTCGCTGCACACTTTCGCATTCTCAGCCCTCCCCGCGGCCCCTAGGCCCCTGGGAATCTCCCCCTCTGCTGGACTGTAGGCCACACGTTGCCTTCTCCATGTGGTTTCAGTGGCTCCAGCCTTCTCTGCACCTGCCACGCTCGAGAGCTCGCTGTCCTCTGTGTGGTGTCTGGGTCTCTGGGCACAAGGACACCCAGAGGCCCTGGGGCCAATTGTGGCGAAGCAGTGAGGGCATCTCAGCTCGTGACCATCTGGTAAAGCTCCCTGTGGGTAAGGCAAGGCCAGCCAGTCAGGTTCATTGGGCCCCAGTCGAGCGTTCTGGTTTGCAAGCTCTCTGTGGCTGCCATCGAGCCCCCACAGCAGAGCAGAAACTGGGGACCCCAAAGCTGAGAGAGTTTGCTGCAGGGCCCTTCACAGAGGGGGTCGCTAGCTCAGCCATTTGTAAGTAACTTGTGGAAACACTTAAGTGACTTTGTGTATCTGGTAACCTTTGCTGCGCCCTGGGCTGTGTTCATTTTGATGGGAAATTCATATAAGCAAATGGAGTGACTCTGACTGGGTGCCTGGTGGCCCCTGTGTTTTGCAGCTTGGTGGAGGCTGCGAACTTGCTATGATGTGTGACATCATTTATGCTGGAGAAAAGGCCCAGTTTGCACAGCCGGAAATCCTGCTGGGAACCATCCCAGGTAAAGAGTGATAATGTCTCCGGCATGACTCTCCCGGTCATTCTTCAGAATCTGCCCACGTCTCAGGAGCTTATGGCCTTTTCCAGTCACAGACCAAAGCATGCAGCTTGCCTGTGACGAGGGACCTGGGCTGTGGTCTACGCGCTGGATGGTGGCCGCCTGTCTCTGCCCATTGCTCCCCCTGCCGACCAGCACACTAAGCCGGGGGGACGCAGCGGCGCTCAGAGAGTGGCCCAGGGAGCCTTAGGTCCATGCAGGCTCCTCTGATGACTGCCAGATTGTGTGTCAGACACTATTAGGGAAGGCTGACCACATACCGCGTTGTCACTGCAGTGATGCCTGCTTGTGACCCTCGGTTCAGCAGAGCAGGGAATCCCCATGAGGAGGGTGATGGGAGCCATGGTCAGACAGTGACTCCTCTATGCCCTGGGGGCTACCTGATGAGAGCTCTGGGCTTATGGCCCCACAGGGTCTCTGCCCTGCATGTGGAGCCTGGAGCCCAGGGCGTCTGCTGAGCAGCTGTCAGATCCGCAGAGGGTGTCTGGGTTGGCCGAGGATGAACAAAGCCCCGTATGGTGCTCTGCTGGCCGCTGGGCTGTCCCCGTCCCAGGGCCCAAGGTCTCCGCTTCACTGAGGCAGCGCCTGAGCCTGTTGGATTGTGGGTGTCTCCGTCAGGTGGTCCCCTTGGCTCACCTGGGCAGCCCGGGGTTCTCTGTGGGACAGATGGAAGACGGGGCCCCGGGAGGGATGGACAACAGGGCCCGGGTGTCACTGTGGGGCGGGTGGACGATGGGGCCTCAGCGTCAGTGTAGCCAGTGATGGGGCAGACCTCTTCTGTTCCGGGTGCAGCAGGTCAGGCGAGCAGGATGGTGAGCGGGGCACGTGGAGACCAGCACTGGGCCAGAAGGCCACAGTCAGAGCGGCTTGGGAGGCAGAGCCTTTGCTCTTGCTTCAAACTCTGGGGGGAGCAGGCCATGATCAGAGGCTACCCCAGCTGCCCTCCAGGTTGGGCTGGGCCAGGATCTGAGCTGCAGGGACCCAGTGTGCCAGGCATGGGGCCCAAGTATGAAAAGGAGGCTCACCTAAGGTTTCTTGGGTGGCCTCCTTTCTGCCCACCTGCTCCACCCAAGGAGCCCAGCTTCATCCCTCAGAATTTGCTGGAAGTGTGTCCGTGCCATCTGGGCTTGTACTAACCATGAGCCAACTATGACCAATAGCCCTCTGCCCCTGCAGGTGCAGGGGGCACCCAGAGACTGACCCGCGCTGTTGGAAAGTCACTGGCCATGGAGATGGTTCTCACTGGTGATCGGATCTCTGCCCAGGACGCCAAGCAAGCAGGTGTGGGCCAGGGCCACCCCACGGAGCCACCTGCGTGGGGAGCTGGGTGGAGAGGGTGGTGGGGGCTGCGTCCAGGTGTGCCCGTGGGCGATGAACACAGTCATCTCGGGTGTCCTGAGAAGCCAGGGGACATGTGCCTTTGTTTTTCTTTGGAATGCCACACGTAAGAGAGTAACTAAAATATACATCAACTTCAAGAGTCAAAACATTCCTGTTTCCCTAGCCCGACGTCAGCAGTAGGGGATGCCCGAGACCTTTGCAGGCACACCCTGTCCCCGCCCCAGGGGACCTGCTTTCCCTCCCTCTTGGGGTGTCTGTAAGTGCCTCATGGCCCCACCTCAGGGACGGTGTGGAGCCTGCGTCCCCACAGCCCCTTGTTGGCCCCCAGAAGCCCCCAGCCCCAGGAGCAGCACTGTGACTGGGAGAAGCACAGTCGGGACCATTCGCACTCCAATTTACCTGTTCATGTTTTAGGTCTCGTAAGCAAAATATTTCCCGTGGAGAGACTGATCGAAGAGGCCATCCAGTGTGCTGAGAAAATCGCCAGCAATTCTAAAATCGTACTGGCAATGGCCAAAGAATCCGTGAACGCAGGTAGGGGTTCCGCCAGGAGGAGGCGCTGTGCAGGCCGCCGGCACAGGACCGGCAGGAGCCGCGCTGCTAAGCCATTCTTCCTAGGCCACCCTGGACGGAAATCGGGAGGATTGTTAACGTTGGGATCCCGGCTTTTTGTAGAGTTCCGGTCTTTGGTTGCTTGCTCACAGACTCTCCTGAAATGTTCTGAATTGTCCTTGGTATTAGGACCCAAGAGAGGAGCCAGCCTGAGGGACAGAGAGTGACAGGCACTGGGGTGCAGGGAAATGGCCAGGAAGGACAGGACGGTCTCAAGTAAAGGCAGTCTGACTGCCGAGAAGCCCGGCTCACCTGCCAGGTCCTGGTGGAAGGTTTTCTCTCCTCAGCCACTCTGCCTGCGGCCGGGTGGCCACACAGGCCACGGGACACCAGTGTGAGCCGGGACGGGGGCCACGCTGCTCCCTGTTGCTCTGGACTCTCTGTCCTCTCTCTACTGGCACCGCCTCTCTGAGCCTTCCCGAGAGCTTCTTGAATCTTAGCGTAGCAGGTTGTGCACAGCGTTGGGGGAGCACTGCCCGGGGCCGCTTGTTGAGAAGGCCGTGAGCCCGTGCTGGCCGCTGAGTCGCTCGTGTCTGTGTGCGCTTCTGCAGGGAGGCAGGTCCCCTCCCAGGCGGCCACCAGCCTGTCATTGGCTGAGCTCTTGTTCGTGACACATCCACAGGGATGAGCACGTAGCATGTGCTTACAAGGTGGACACTGCCATGCGTGGAGACAGCCAGTGAGGCCACAGTCAGAGGCCTTACCGCTCACCCCAGGTGTTCAACCAAGAAAGACCCTTCACCTTCGCTGGAAGGACGACCCAGAGCAGTGGTGTTCTTACTGCCCAGGACTCTATTCCGGCACACTGTTCCTTTGTCGGGTTTTCATCCTTCAATTTTACATCTTTTAAAGCGTACTTAATTCTGGGGTGCTTGGGTATCTCTGTCCGTTGAGCATCCGACTCTTGGTTTTGGCTCAGGTGATGATCTCAGGGCCGTGCGATCGAGCCCAGGTCCAGCTCTGCACTCAGCAGGGTATCGGCTTGTGACTCTCCCTCTGCCCTCACCCTGCTCGTGCATACACGTGCTCTCTTTCTCTCTCAAAATAAAATCTTTAAAAAATAAAATCCAGGGGCGCCTGGGTGGCTCAGTGGGTTGAGCCTCTGCCTTCGGCTCAGGTCATGATCCCAGGGTCCTGGGATCGAGCCCCGCATCGGGCTCTCTGCTCAGTGGGGAGCCTGCTTCCCCCTCTCTCTGCCTGCCTCTCTGCCTGCTTGTGCTCTCTGTCTCTCTCAAATGAATAAATAAAATCTTCAAAAAAATAAATAAATAAAATCCATGTAATTGTGCAGGCTCTCAGGTCCAGTTGTGATTACTGGACAGAGTTAGTCTCCGCACCCTTTACTCAGTCCCTCGTGCTGCTCCTCTTGGAGCCACGGGGGTTGCAGCCAGGACGGGGCCTTTGAGAAGGGGGTGCTTCCCAGGCTCCCATCCAGATCCCGGCGAAATGAAGGTTCACGTGGGTCAGTGGGGAGTGTTTCCTGTCACCATAAAAGAAAGTTGCTTGTCCCCACATCTAACACCCGAGTTCCTGACTTCAGGGTTCTCTTTTTCAGCTTTTGAAATGACATTAACAGAAGGAAACAAGCTGGAGAAGAAGCTCTTCTATTCAACTTTCGCTACCGTGAGTAAACATTCAGTGGAGACACACGTGGCCAGCCGTAGAAATCCCTGGGAATGTCCTTGCAGTTTTTCATTAAATGCCATTTCTCTTTGGTTAAACTGTTCGCTTTCCCTATAGCCAGATCAGATGTGTCCTGTCCACGAGCATGATTTTTGCAGATGAGTACAGTGTGTAGACGCTCACACGTATTCGGGGTGACTTCCTGCTGCGTGAGTGTGACGACTCGCACGCTTACGCAGCGAGCGCTTGTGTCACGTGCAGGGCATCTGCGCCCACAGCGTTGGCGTCCTGCGTCACGCCGCTTACCTGGAGTTCAGGTGTATCCTGACGCCGCCTCTGAAGCTTCAGGTCAGGGTTTTCTAGGATTTGCTAGTCACTGAAAGGGAGCCCTTGTGAGTCATTGAAACCCACCTCTCCGTATCAGAAAGTCATGTTGAGGTGTTCTGTGGAAGAGAGTAGAAGGGACCACGGCTGTTGAACTGAAGGTGCGTGTGCACGTGCACTCGCAGGTGGCAAACGCGTGAGTGACCCAGCCAGGCGCGGCTGAAGCTCTCTGCGGGGTGCGAGTTTATCGGACACACAGTGTAGTGGTTCCTGAAGGCTCGCACCAAGGGACTGGGAGGGGCATATACGAATGCCATTTCCAGATGCCGTTTCCAGGCCGAGGTCAGGGAACCCAGGCGGTTCTCAGGTTTCCAGGTAGTCCTGATGCGGTACCTCCCGCCCTGTGCTCCTCCACTCTGTGGAATTCCAAGCTTCTGAGGACCCCGGCAGACTGAGCAAACCCCGCAGACAGCCGGAGCCCCGCGCCTTGACTCTCTAGGAAAACGTGACCGTCCATCTCTCCTGTTTTCCATTTCCCACCAGGAAGACCGGAAAGAAGGGATGACCGCATTTGTGGAAAAGAGAAAAGCCAACTTCAAAGACCAGTGAGCACCACTGCCTCTGCCTTGAACCCTCCACTTAAAGACAAGTTGCAGTCTGACCGTCTTAGAAGCAGATAAATCCTTCTCTTGTAAAGGGCCGCATGGGTGACACCAGTTTCTCTCCACCAGTCGGGCTCTTGCTCCCCGGGGTGGCCGGCCGACTTCACCCAGCGGCCATGAGAACCCACGCGGGGCCGTGTTCACGCTCTGACTGAGCCTGTTCTTCCTAATCAGAAATTATGGGGGCGCGTGGGTGGTGCAGTGGGTTAAGTGACTGACACTCAGCTCAGGTCATGGTCTCAGGGCTGTGGGATCGAGCCCCACGTAGGGCCCTGCTCAGTAGGGAACCTGCCTTAGGTTCTCGCTCCCTCTGCCCCCCTCACTTGGGTGTGTGCACTCGCTCGCCCGCTCGCTCAAATCAATAAAAATCTTTCTAACAGTTCTGCTCATGAGCCTTTGGTGGTGTGTTCAAGTTTTTACTTGATTTCAGGACCTGAGAGAGAGTTCAATGCCAAACACTCACTTTGTTCAGTGAGCGGCGTTGGGCTGGAAGCGTGTCCCCCATGTGGTCACGGTGTCCCCCGTGTGGTCACTGTGTGTGGTCACTGCAGATTCCCAGCCGGTGAACATGACCGCTCAGAGGGCGGGCACTGCCGACGACGTGGCAGACGCTGGGCCTCTCTTCTCTGAAGGCCAACGCCACGTCACTCTTCAGACTTCTGTTTTGTCGTGCTAAACCACAAGCAAACACGTCCGTCGAGTCAGTCCCCTGGCACGCTCCCAGGTTAACCGTCGTTAACAGGGGTGTAGCTTTCTAGATGCTTCTGTGCACACATGCAGACACACAAGGGAAAGCTGCTTTCTTACAGAAAGGGATTGTGCGTCCACACCTCTGCACAGTGCGCTGACCCGTTACCTTCTGCTCCGGGCCCACAAGTGCACCATCCTCTGTTTGCCCACCAACCCGTCAATCGTGGTGAAGTCTGAAACATAAAGCTTACTGTCTTAATGGTCTTTAAATGTCCAGCTTAGCGGCACCACAGCCATCCCCACCATCTGTCTCCGCGCTGCTTCGTCCCCAGAGAAACTGTCCCCATCACACGCTAACCCTCGGCCCCCCACAAGCCCGGCGTGCCCTCTGTATCCGGGAATTCAGCGCTACCGACAGGCCATCCAGCTTGCTTTCCATTGCTCAGCATTGCCCCTGTGAGCATGCCACTCGATGGCCCAGAAGTACATTAGGGCACAGGAACATCCTTTATTTATTTATTCCCGTGGTGTTGGGACATTTAGGCTGCATCCAGTTTCTTGTTACCGGCACTGTTGCTGATGACCCGGCAGTGGCCATTCTACGTGTGAATCCTTGCACCGAGGTGCAGACATGTCTGTAAGATTTGGAGAAGTGAGCCTGCTGCGAGACAGGGCCACCCGCGGTGGGGACCTGCCCGCTCTGTCCCATCAGTGGCCGTCAGCAGGACCCCTACCCTGGTGCTTCTCGGTGCCAAGCTGGCCAAGTCTCCAGGAATGATGGGGAACGGCTTGCATCCAACCCTCAGGTGTTTGCTTAAATCACGTGCCCAGAGCTGGATCAGAGCTATGGGAGGACCTGGAACGCGTGGTCTCCGAGGCATCCGCTGGTTCCCGGTACCCAGCAGAGCTGTGCTCACGGCTGTGACACTGAGTGCTGTTTGCTGTGGGGACAGAATTAACTCCACTGGCTTCAGACTCTGATGGGCCAGCTGCATCCCCTGATCCCACCTCCCAGGGCACGGGGTGACCGGGGCGGGGGGGGGGGGGGCGAGTTCCAGGAAGCCCCATCCGCCTCAGCAAACACTGCCGCACAGTGCTCTCAACCCTCCGTCTCTCCAGGCCATGGAACAAAAGTCTGGAGCACGGGTCAGAGAACATCCTCCTGCTTGGGAGGGCTTCATGGGTGCAGGGGCTGTCGCTGTACCAGAGTGGGGCCCCATCCTCAGAGCATCCTCAGACCCTCTAAGGGGAGGTCAGGCCATGTGCATCCCTGCCGGCAGCCTCTGGGCACCAGGGGTCCCACCCGGCTCTTGGCGCTGGTGCAGACAGGACAGGTGGGGGCCAACTGATGGGCCCGCGTGAGGGGCAAGGCCGACTGCCATGGGACCCCCGTCCCTCACCCCATCTTCTGCTCTGTGGCGATGACCCCAGCTCTCAGGGAGAACCCAGGGCTCTGTCTAAGCAAGGACCCCACAGTAAGACCCGGACCTGGCTGCTGCGGGGGCTGCGCCTCCCGGGAGAGCCCGCTGTCCCTGAGCTCAGTGGTGCCCTGGGAGCTCCTGTTAGTGATCCCGCCCACTCTGTCCTGCAGGAAGGTACACCAAGTAGTCCAGTGACCGGAACGCAGCGGAGATCACAGGGCTGGGGTGGGGCCCCAACCGTGTACCCTCCCCAGCCCCCAGGAACTGAGCTGAATGCACCTGCACTTGAGAAAGAACTGAAATCATCTTCTGCAAAGCTCTGGCTCTCTGAACACCTTCAACTACATGCTCTCGTGTCATTCTTCGCACATAACCCTCAGGGTCTTGAACTGTGTGACACTTATTATGGAAGTAGGTACAAGGGGATCTGGGTGGCATGGTTTGGGCTCTCCCTGTGCGTAGGTTGTCAGGAGGCTGGGCGTTCTTCCTGGTGGCAGGTGTGGAAATACCCATTGATTAAAGCTGAATGCGGGGTTCCTGGGGGCTCAGTGGGGTAAGCGTCTGCCTTTGGCTCAGGTCATGATCTCAGGGTCGTGGGATCGAGGCCCCTGCTCAGCGGGGAGCCTCCTTCTCCCTCTTCCTCCACTCATGCTTGCTGTCTCTCTGTCTCAAATAAATAACAAATATTAAAAAAAAAAGAAAAAAGGTTGAAGGCATACCCAGGGGTTTGTGCCGGGTGACATACAGCATATCCTGGATTCCAGTGCCAAAGGAGGACCTGAAAGGTGGCCTTCATTTTTCACGTGCCTCGGGAAGTGGCCTCTATCATTTGATTGCGCGACGGAGCCCCAGAGTTCTGCGGAGCTAGTTTTGATGGGCCCATGCAATACTGGCCTTCATACCCTTGCCTTACCCATGCTCAGCCAGAAGCCAGGAAATGGTTAAACCCTGAATCCATACAAAAGATTCTGTGTGCCTCAGAGGTCTGGCTCCGGAGCTGGGCAGGGAGAGGAGCCCACCCCTCAGCCTGGACCTGGCATGGGGGCTCCGGGTTAGGTTGCTGACTGCCCTACGCAGGACAACCCCGGGGCCCACAAACCCCACAGCGAGGCTCCCACCCCCTCTGAGTTTATGGACCTCTGGCCCCATGTTGTTTGGGATTTTGATTTGTTTTTAAAGGGGAAACCTTAGCTTCTCACCTGTGCCACTTGGGTGGCCCCCTTGCAGGCTGGTTGCCCTTCCCCCTCCCCATCCCCTGGCCAGCTCCTGACTCTACTCTGCCCAGCGGGGCCAGCCCAGGGCCCTGCATTCCTGGCCCCGCTGGATGCCGGGCTGCTTTCCAATGGACTCTCTTGGCCAGTCGGACTCCCAGGACCCAGCAGTAAAACACAGAGACATCTCTACCTTCTTCAGGTTTTTGCTGTAGTTTTGTTGTTTTTCGTGTACAAAGCCTTCCCAGGAGTGGCCTGGCCTCCCAGCATTTCCTGTCACCAAAGGGCTGGAGGCTGTGACAAAACACTGACCACACAACCCTGAGTCTATTTGGGAATGAAGTGGAAGAAGGTGGGGCTCCACAGGGAGGGAGCCTGGCCTTGGCTCTGGGTTGGACTGTCTCCTGCTGGGCCAGTGTACCCGGCAGCCCCATGAGCTGAGGCCAGGGCCCACTGGAGCTGAAGAGGGTCCCATCTGTGGGGTGAACAATGAGGTTTGGTGGTGGGTCTGTAAGCAGGCTGATAAGCAGGCCAGCACACATGTGGGCAGCTGCACCGCCCTCTGCCCTCCAGCCTGAGTGTGGGAGAGGGATTGGAAGAGAGCAACTAAGATCGAAAGCCGAGGACAGTGCTGGCAGGGCTTTTGGTGTCCATGTTGGCAGGGCCCAGGAGACTCCGGGATCCGTCAGCATGTCTGCAGAATTGCTCCTGAACTCAGTAGCTCAAGACAGCAGTCCTAGCTGTTCTCACAGTCTGTATGGGTGCCAATGGGTCAGCCTGTCTTCACCTCACTGAGTTGGAACCTTCTGACCAGTCACTCGTCTGTTGGTTGGTGCTGCCTCCGCTGGGCCTAGCTGGGGCTAAGGGCCAGAATATCCACAGGGAGGCTCTCTGTGTGCCCTAGGCTTCCTGCCAATACCATGTCTGGACTCCCTGGACAAGCATCCTGATGAGAGAATCAGGAGGAAGCTGTACTGCCTTTTATGCCCTATCCTCAGAAGCACCCTTTCCAGTACATTCTTTTGGTTGGAGCAATTACAAAGGTCCGCCTGGTTCAAGAGAAGGGAAGAGAACCATCTCGCAGTGGAACTGTGCCCATGGCCCTCCAGGATGGCAGATGGAGTGTTGCCACCATTTTTGGAAAACAGCCCGCTCCACAGTCAACCAGGGTCTGGCCCTGGACACAGACAGCCTGTGGGGTGCACCTCTGGGGAGGTGAGCATCTTCCAGCAGGGAAGTGGTGACACGGTGGACAAGACGGCACGGTATGGTTAGTGGTCCCAGCATCCCAGATCCCAGGTCTCCAGGGACAAGGGTCCAGCAGGTGGGAGACTCTGGCCAGCTGAAGGCAAAGTGCTCCCTCTGTTCAAGGGAACGCGCTGTGGACCCAACCCCCACCCCACCCCCAATCTGGACACCCCATCTTGGTGGGGTGGGGGGTGGGAAGGTCCAGTCCTGAGGAGGACAGGCAAGCTGGGGCCCTGGGGGGAAGAAGAGGTCAGGTCACTGCTGTCCTGGGATGGAACACCGCACCCCACTCAGGTGAGGGGGTCAGCAGGTTGGCGCCTGGGAGACAAGGTGGAGACCCCACAGTAAGGTGCTCCCCGCATACCAGCTTGGCCCAGAGGCAGCTCCTGCCTGCCCTCCAGTGTTCCCTCCAGGGCAGGCCCGTGGCTGTCCTTGCGAGGAATGTTGGTGAAGAAGTCGGACAGGACTGGCCACCGGCTCCTCCAGGGACCCAGAGGGCTGGGGTGGGAGTTGGGGTGGGGGTCAGCGAGGCCTGGGGGCGTAACTGAAGGGTGATGGGGAGGCCGCGAGAGGCGGCAGCGGAGAGCTCGGGTCTGGGACCAGGCGAGGGACCTGAGGCCCCGGAAGACGCCTGCGGGGTGGGCCGGGTGTCGCCGCCGCCCCCGGTCCGAACGCGCGAGCCGCAGTCCTCGGTGCGTCCCGCCCATGGGCTGGAGCGAGGAGACCCTCCCCACCGCCAGCTCCTGCCCCCACCTCCTGCCCCCACTCCTGCCACGCCCCTTCCGTCGAGGCCACGCCCCTTCCGTCGAGGCCACGCCCCTCCGCTCCAGACCCGGAGATCATGGTGGTGCTAAAGGGCGTTCCGGCGCTGCTGTCCCCTGAGCTGCTCTACGCCCTGGCGCGGATGGGGCACGGCGACGAGATCGGTGAGGGGCGGGGACAGGGCCTCGGGACCCCCACCCTTGGGCGAGGCGCGCGCGGGACCCCCGCCACCCCAGGCCCTGCAGGGGTCGCGACCCAGACTGTGCCCCCAGCCGGGGGGCGACGACTCCCCAAGCCCGGGAAGAGCCTGGTCCTGGGGTGGAGGCCTTGGTTTGGCCGCCCCGTCCCACTTCCCAGTAGGACTGCCCCTACCCCACCCACCACCCACATTCTTTAGGAAACTGGGGCCATGTTGGTTGGTGGCCAAGCCCCTGCCCAGACCTTGGTCGGCCCCAGGCGGTCACGAGGACGGTGGCCCTTGGTCCAGGCTGCGCCGAGTCCGGCTGGTCCGGCCCCTCCCCCAGCCCGGCTTTCTGGGGCCCCGGGGCCAAGTTCCCAGCTGCGGCCTCAGGCCCAGTGCGCTGCTCGTTCTCCAGACCCCCTCCCAGACGACCCCAAGGGGCCACACCTCTTTCTCTGGCGGTTTGCCTTTCCTGGAGCCCTGGACCTCGGGCGGGGGCTGCACGGGCGGTGCCCCAGGGGGTGGAACGGGGCGGGGTTCCCGAGTTCTGCCCTAGTCCTCAGCACCTGCAGCTTCTCCTGCTCTAGGAAGCTTCCTCTCCCCGCCCCCACCTCTGACAAGAGGGGTCGGGGAGGGCAGTGGGCGTGGTCTGCCGTGTGCGACAGGCGCCCCGAGGTCTGTGCCCACCACGCGGACCCACCAAGGCATGTCTGACCGGGTTGCCTGGCTGTTCAGTTTTCGCAGACGTGAACTTCCCCACCGCTTCCATATGCAGGTGTGGGCCGGAGGAGATCCGAGCTGACGGTGAGCCACCGCCCCAGCAGGGAGGGGTTAGGCTGGAGACGCAGTGCTCCCAGCTCTACGCTCCCCAAGTGTTGCCCTGTGCCCCCATCCCCACTTACGCCCCAGCACCCACCGGTGACCCAGGGAGGCCCCCAGAAGTGACCCTGGGCCTCCTGCCCCATCTCAGGCACCTCTTGGTAGCTTCTTGCAAGTGGGGAAACTGAGGCCCAGTGGCTTGTTGACTGGCTGAGCACTGATGCATCCCTGCTCCCCACAGCCCGTCAGGTGTTCAGCTTTTACTCTGCTATAGAAATCCCAGTACTGACCTCGCAGGCTCCGGGTGCCCACATGCTCTGTCTCTGGGACCCTCTGACCCTCAGGGGTGGGTGGAAGGCGTGACTCGGAGGGTCCTGGAGCCAGGGCCTCGAGGTGATGGTAGTAGCAGTTAGTACCAAGAGCAGGGGGTGTGAGGACACCAGCATCCTGCCCTGTCCTGTCCCACCTGGGCTGGCCCTGGGCTTGGCTGTCCCCCCACCCTCAGCAATGCTCTGAGGGGACACAACTCTCCCCGCAAAATCGAGGCCACTAAGGCACAAAGATGTGAGATGTAGGGTAAACCAGCCCTTCTGGACAGGGGGCCAGTGGTCTGAGGCCCGTTCAATGGGCTGCTGACTCCAGACCCAGTGACCTTGGCTTCCACCCTCTGCTGAGGAGATGAGCCAGCCATGCCTGGGTTTACACCATGGGCCAGAGGACCCAGCACGCTCTCCTCTCCAAGGAGGACAGGACAAGGTGGGCCATGGGAAAGGCCAGAATGCTTGAAGGTAAGGAGTGGCCAAGCTTCTGAGTGTCCCACACGCCCTGCGAGTTAGTGGAAACAAGTGATGAGGAGTGAAGGCCAGCTACGCAGACAAGTCTAACGACGGAGAAGAGCAGAGAACACAGCAGAAGAAAATGCACTCAGGACAGCAGAGTTTCCCAGCTGCAGGCTAATAAGATGACAGCCGATTTTTGTCTTGTCCCCAGCCCCATATTTTCCCGTTCCGTGCAACCAGCACAAGTCCCTTTAACAATAAGAAACCAGCTCCACAGGATGACAAGGACCTCGGAAACCAGTGGGCAGCCTGGGGCAGCCTGGGACAGAACAGCCTCTTCCCAGACCCCACTATCCTCATCACAGGAGAAAGGTGGCCACCCAGGGGCCATCGGGGGGTGCTGGGGTCAGGGAAGTGGCCCGGGTGCCCCTCCTGGTGGATGAGTAGGGAGGTCACCACCAGTGGCCTATGAAGTACGGACTGGAGGGCAGGGGGAGCCCAGGGCCAGGATGGTCACAGGTGCTGTAGCAGGGAGATGCCAGTGCGACTCCAGTAAGTGTCACCAGGCGGGCAGCAGGGGCCTGCATCCCCCGCCCTGTCCTGGGCCCGAGGCCATCCTAGCTGGCCAGCTTGGTGAGGTCCAGGGCGTGGACAGGCCCGGAGGGCAGGCGGCACTGTCGGTGGCTGGGTGGGACAGGGCTCCCGTCTGAAGCTGGCACTCCACCCTAGGCCTGGGCATTCCACAGCTCCTGGAGGTTGTGCTGAAGCTGCTGCCACTGGACACCTACGTAGAGAGCCCGGTGAGTGCCTGTGGCCATGTCGCCCCTCCCTGCTCTGGGCCTTGGTTTCTTCTGAGATCAGACCTCAGAGGACCCCTGAACTGTCATCCAGTGGGAGGGGAAGCTGGGACCAGGGCTGCTGGGTATATAGGCCACAGAGCTGAGCCCCCTCTCCCTAGGCTGCTGTCATGGAGCTGGTGCCCGGTGACAGGAAGATCGGCCTTCAGACCCCGGTGTGGAAGAGCTACGAGTCCATCCTCCTGGAGGCTGGCTGCGTGGTGAGGCTGCAGCCCCACCCAGGGGGCTCTCGGGGACCCTCTGCACCTCTGCGGAGGCCGGCGGGAGTAACAGACAGGGCCCCAAACCGCCCCCCCTACAGTTGTGGCTCACGTGCTCACCCTCCACAGAAAAGTGACCCTGGGGGTGTGGCTGTTCCCAGCCCCCAGCCTCTCACCTCTCAGGTCAGGGACCCTGTCGTGGCCTGGGGTGCGTCACCCACCCCAGCCTGTGTGAGCGGAGCCAGGGGCAAGTGAGGCACCCCTGGCCCCTGTCTTATGGCCGGAAGCCTGGCCTAATGCTGTGTGTCACCCCTGCATTGTGGAAGGATGAACCTCTCCTCCCAGGACCTCCCACCGACACGTCTTGGGCAGGACCCATTGAGGACAGGCTGCTGGGACTCCTGTCCTGGGCAGGGGCCCTCCTGCCCTTAGACCAACTCCGAGAGACACAGGGCCCCAGGCAGCTGGCCACCACAGCCCCCTGTGTCCCTGCCTGCCCAGTCCTCACAGCTCAGAGGCTGAGCATCCTTGGGACCCCAGCCAGGAGAGCCAGTCGTGGAGCTCAGAGCGGCATGTCTCCTCATGCCCCTGGCGCCTGCTTGGGCCCTGAGGCTTTCTGAGCAAGGCCCCTCCACCATGCCGTTTTGCCTTCCAGAGCACCCTGGCGAAGATAGAGAGGTTTGAGTTTTATGAGCGAGCCAAAAAGGCTTTTGCTGTTGTAGCAACTGGGTGAGTTCCGGCCGAGTACCTGGGGTCCCTTTGGTCCTGCTGGTCAGGGTAGCTTTGGCTGGGACTGTCTGGGTCTGGGTCCCAGGGCCACTCCCTGTCCCCATGCTCAGCCCCGGCCCCCACTGGGAATAGGACTGTCAGGATTCACCTGAGGACTGGTCCCTGGACTTGCCTAGTGGGTGGGATGGAAGTGGGCGGGATGGGTGGCAGAGCCGGGGACCCAGCTTGGTGCTCAGCTCAGCTCCTTACGCAGGGAGACGGCCCTTTATGGAAACCTCATCCTCAAGAAGGGGGTGTTGGCCCCCGAGGCACTGATCTAGGCCTGGCGAAGACCCCTGGGCCCAGAGAGGAATCTGCATCTCTGGGCCAGACCACGGACAAACCGGCCCTGTCCTGCTCAGCCCAGACCGCCCCCAACTGGGGACCCCGGGGGGCCAGGCCAGTCTTTGGGGTGTAGGGGGAGGTGCTGCTGAGGGGGACTGGGACTCACCCAATTTACGATAATGATGTGGAGTGTGGTGACTCGTCTCTGAAGTCAGAGGTTTCAACAACAGCCCCGTCCTCATAAAGACTTGTTCAGTGCCGAACACGAGGGAGGCCACTGGCTCCTCAGAGGGCCTCCCACCCCCATGCATCCTCAGGGAGGAAGGAAGGCCTCTCTCCTCCCTAAGGTCCGAGGCAGGTCCCTGGGTTCAGGACAAGAGCTCACAGGAGTAGAGGTCCTCTTGTGAGGAGACCCCACGGAGGGCTGGGCTGGGCGGCCACGACTGCACTGCGAGAGCCTGGGGGTGAGCAGAGCAGCTGCCCAGGGGCCCTGAGTGGGGGGTCTGCAGTCAGCCCCAGAGCTGGGGGTGGTGGGCAGGGGTCATTCTGGGTGCTGGGGAGAGTGGGGATCAGTCATCTGTTCCCGCTCTCCAGTGGTTGAGTGCCTATTGAATACACAGGAGCCCGAGCTGTTCTGGGAAATGGGCTGGTGGGGGTGGGGAGGTGAAGGACAGGAGGACGTCCCTTGCATCTCTTGCGTGGCCAGCAGGCAGAGGGCCAGACTGCCTGAAGGCAGCACGCGGAAGGGAGGCTGTGATGGCTTCGGCATGAGGCTTGGGCTGGGACTCAAGGTGGGGGTAGCCTGCCATCACTGCTCTGGACCCCAGGGTCTCCCCAAACGCTCTCACTCCCCTCCAGGCCTTCCTGTAGCCATGCAGCTGCTGTGCAGAAGCTGGTGTGCGGGGCGCCTGGGCCTCTAGGCCCCTCAGAGCCTGGGGCTGGTGTCCCAGATGTCACAGAGAAACTGGGGGGCAGGCAGGCCCCCTGGGCTGGGGGTCCAGGTCTCAGCCTGGCCGGGCCCAGTCATTGCAAGGGCTTAACCTCAGACCCCTGACCCCACGGCCACCTCTAGCCACACAAAGGCCTTGCTTTAAACAGCTTTATTGAGACTTAACTGACCTATAATAAGCTGCACACATTCCAAGTGTACAGTCAAATGCCTTTGGATATTGTCTACACGGGAGAGCCTCTGGCCACTGCCAGTGTCATCCTGCTCACAAGGCTCTCACACCTCAACGGCCCACCCCCGAAGCCCCAGCTCACCCCGCCTCCCCAGGCACTCTCAGCCTTGTGGCTGCACCCTCGGGCTGGAGGAAATGCCCCTGGGAAGTCCTGGCTCCAGAGAGAGACTGGGCTACAAGCCACCCTGGTCTGCCCAGGCCCAAGGCCGCCACTGACCTTGGATCTGAGCTGGGCACCCCCAAATTGCTCAGAGGTGGCCACCCTTGACCTGACGGGGCAGGGGGAATGACCTACGGGCCTGCTAACCCCCGCGCGTGCCATGCGGGATGCAGTCTGGGGCCTCCCCAGGCACCTGGCTCCCCGGATCTGGGGCAAGAGCTGGTGCTAGGTGCACAGTGAGGAGGCTGGGGCCCATCATGCTGCTTTAGGGCAGGACCACGGACAGGTCACGGTCCAGTCTGGGGTCCCTTCTGCGGTGACGTGAAGATGACCTGGTCTGCTGGCACAGTGCCAGGTGGTGAGCACATGAGCCACTAGGGAGAGCCTTGGGGCGTGGACTGCCATCCAAGTGCTCAGAGGGGACCCACGACAGGACACGGAATTCCAGGGCACCTCAGACAAGCCCGCAGTCCCCGGAGCAGCCGCATGCCTCAAAATCGAGCCCTGGATGGCCTCTGCCTGGAGCTCTGTTCGTCCTAACCAGTGGAGGGGCTCAGGCCGGGGTGTGGGAGGCACTCCAGGCTTCCCTCTTGAGGCAGAGGCGTGATCGCCACACAGAAACCCTGACTGCCTTTGCACGCGTACTCAACACACGTTCAGTGCGTCAAATAGCCCCAGTGAGCCTGTGCCTGCAGCCGCAAGGTTGGGCCGTGCCCTGGGGTCCGGCCCCTCAAACAGCACTGGACAAGCACCCAGAGAATGGGGAGGACCAGGAGCCTGGGCCTGAGTCCTGCACCACCCCCCAACCTGAGCCCCTGTGCACCTGAGCACCCAGTGATGCACCCTCCTGCTGTCTTTTTAGGGCCCATCTGTGGGGAGCTGACTGGTCCCAACCACTGACCTCTGCCATGCCCCGGGCCCCATCCCACCATCCAGGGAGGAGGCCTGAGGGGAGCCGATCATCCCAGGAGCAGGGGCGCTGAGTTGAGGGAGCTTTGGAGGCTCTTGGTGTTTGGAGACAAGCCTGTGGCACGAGGAGGACACAGGCCTTTCCTTGTCCCTGACAGAGCAGGCTAGGACCATGGTCACTGTTGCTGAAGACACATGTGGTCTCCACCCCTACGAGATTTATTTTTCCAGTTGGGGAGGGGTCAGGGCTCCCCAGAATCCTCCCTGGGGTGGTAGATATGGTCTCGGTCCTCCTCTGGCCCTTGAAGCGCCTGGGGAAGTGACAGTGCCCAGGGCCAGAGCCCTGCCTCATCCTGGGCCTCCCTGGCCTCCTCGGGCGCTGGGTGGTACAGGCCATCACGGTCCAGCTCAGGATCCCAGCTGGGGCTTGGAACATGGCCCAGGGTGTCCTCAGTCCCTGCCTGGGTCTTGGTGCCTAAGGACAAGGAGATGGGATGGAGGCGAGGTTTCCCTCTGGAGGGAAGTCAACTCCACGGGGGCTCCGCTGCTGTGACCTTGCCCCCCTTCACCTGGTGCCCACCTGACCTTGCCGTTTCTCCCACGTGGCCGTGGCAAGGTTTGGTGCCGCTAGCAGCCCCAGGAGCTGGTTGTCCATTTTCAGAATGTCCACCACACGGGCGTCCCAGGCCCTGCGAGCAGAGCTGGGTCAGGCCTACCTGTGCAGGAGGAGGAGCCAGGAGCCACGCCAGTGAGGGCGCCCACCACCTTCTGAGCAGCCTCGAGGCGCTGGGCAGGAGACCCTAGTGGGAGGTTGCTCCCCACCAGCGTCCTTGGTGGCTCTGTTCCGTCCTTTGCCAGCGGCCCTGGGGGACCCCCGGACAAGCACTACTGACCCCTCCACCACCCAAGAGCTATGGCCAGGCACCCTCCACGAAACCCAGACCCGCCAGCCAGGCAACCGCCCCCGCTCCGCCGCATCCCTGAGCTATAGGGGCCCAGGAAGGTCGGAGAGTCCCTTGGGTGGCGTCCTAAGGGTGTCCCCTGAGAAAACATCTTGGCCCAGCCCTGCGTCATGGAGACCTGGAAAACTTGGGCAAGAGCTCCCTCCTGTCCCAGAGGCCAGGCCTGTGCAGGCTGAGGAGTGGCTGTCTGTCCTCTGGCCTGGCCTGGCCTGGCGTGGCCCTGGGGGAGAAGCCAGCCGGGGTTGCCTCATGGGAGTGCAGGGAAAGGGGCATGGCTTAGAAGCGCCTCTGTGGGGGGTGCCTGGGTGGCTCAGTGGGTTAAACTTCTGCCGTTGGCTCAGGTCATGATCTCAGGGTCCTGGGAACGATCCCTGCATCGGGCCCTCTGCTCGGTGGGGAGCCTGCTTCCCCCCTCTATTTTTTCCTGCCTCTCTGCCTACTTGTGATCTCTCTGTGTCAAATAGATAAAATATATATTTTTTTAAAAAGTGCCTCTGTGGGTAACTATAACCCTGGGCGTGGGCGTGGGGGTTGGGTAGCCATCCTGGAGGCTGCTAGGAGAGCTAGGGGATCATTCTGGAGCACCCCCCCCCCCTTGTAGGTCTCTGACAGATCCCACAGGATCCCATGCTGGTCGGAGCAGTGCCCCCTCCCTGAAGCTGCTGGGCAGGGCCTCCCCCCATTCACAAACGCCCTTAGCCTAGAGGGTTCCCAGAAGGGGCAACAGCAGGGGAATGTGGCAAGGGCTGCGGGGGACACTCACTCTTTTGTGTCCCGCTCAGGACCCCCGACTTGGCCTTTGGTCTTGATGAGGACCTGGAAGAGGGAGGTCCCAGGTGTGGGGTCCATGGTCAGAGAACACCTGCAGAGAGATGGCTCCAAGCCCCCCCCCCCACCATACTTGCTGACTCCACTCCACCCTCTGGGGGCAGGATTGAGGCCCTCTGGTTCCAGGAGAGACAGGGCCACCCCTGGGGCTGCATCTGCCCACCCCTCCCTGGCTGATGGCCTGAGGAAGGAGGGCCAGTTCCTCTGAGTCCAGCCCTCTGTGGAGCCAGGGGAGCACAGGGCAGTGAGTCGAACATGACCCTCGGGGAAGGGTCGCTGTCTGTTGCCCGAGGGGGTGGGCCTTCCCCTTCCCTACCCTCCCAGGTGTGCAAGTCTGAGTGGTCTGGACCCAAGGCGGGGTGGGTGGGAAGAGGGCTGGGGAGACACAGCCTGACACCAGTTACGTGCACAGGTCACACCTGAGCGGCATGCACGAGGACGAGAAGGTGCTCAGACACACAGGGCACACGAGTGTCATCAAGGGCCCCTCCCCCACCTGGACCAGCAGGCGGCTGTGACAGGGGCCACTCCCGCTCAGCCTGAGGCCCTCCCTGGTGCCCACAGGGCCACCTGCTGCCCTGGGTGCCCTTTCTTCACTTTCCAGGCCGGTGGGGCGGGGCTCGCGGAGGAGCACACATACCTGGGGCAGGGAAGCTGGGCCTGCCTCCCCCCCGCAGCAGAGCCAGCAGGCCAGTGACCAGGAGGAGCCTGAGGGGACCATAAGGGAGAGTGAGGGGCAGGCCAGGGCTGCCCCTGCTCATCAGCCTCCGGACAGGACACCTGGGTGGGCAGCCCAGCGTGCTGGCAGCTTGGGTCCCAGCCAGGGAGGCCTGGGGCCAGGTCCACGGGTGGTTTCATCGTGTCTCCATCCCACAGACCAAGGACACACAGGCATAGGGGTGGGACCGCCACAGGCCCACACTTGCTCCCGGGGCCCCTCAGAGCAGGCGCCACTGCCCACTGCACCCAGCACTCTTGACAGACCCTCCACTGCAAGCTCGGGCCGCCAGGTGGACGTGATGGGCCGTGCACCACCCCAGCTCCCGGCATCCGGGCTGGCAGCTGCACACGGGCACACGCCCCCTGGGGCACAGAGCAGTGAGGGCTCCCAGCACCTTAGGCTGAGTGCTGACAGGCCAGGACCCGGGGCAAGATCTCAGAGCGCTCTGTGTCCGTGGCAGCCGGAAGCTGTGCACACGGCGCCCTCAGGGCCAGACAGCCCCTTACTCATCTCAGAGCTGCGGCTGGACAGGGGTGCTGGTGCCCGCGCAGGAAGCCCAGGAGGAGGCGGGCAGGATGGGGTGCTCTTTCCAGACACATTCAACTTGACCCCTAGGGTAGCCAGGATGGCCAACAGGGGAGAGGGCCCAAAGACCAAGCCCCAGGCATGGAGTCTGAGGGGCCATGGCCAAAGGGAGGTGACACAGAAACATAGCACAGGAGAAGGATGGACCCAGCTGTAAAGGTCCTGGACGCCTCATCCAAGACAGGAGAGGGGAGGATGGGAGACGGACGGGCACCTGATGTGTGTGTGTGTGTATGCATGTCTGTGCGTGTCTCTGCGCCTGTGTGCGTGCGTGTGTGTCCGCACGCATGTGTGCACATGTGTACATGTGCGTGTGTGCGCGTGTGCATGGTGTGTGTTCGTGATGCATACGGTGTGCGTGTGTGACAATGTGTATGTGTCTCGTTAAAAAACAAGACAACACTCCCAAAATGGAATCGCTCACCCCGAGCCCCAGGTCACCAACCCGAACCCAGAACTGGATCCTTAGAGCAGCAAGGTGGAAGCGGCCCGGTCAGCCCTGGGTGGGTCACCTGTCCCACAGGCCCCTGCGTCCGTCCCCTAAAGAAAAGTTGCCGTCCCGTGACCCACCTGCGTTTTCCTGCTGTGACGTCCCCGTCCCACCCCCTCCTGCCTGTAATTCCACATGCAGCACCTCCGAGGGCCTCCTATCTGCTGGGTGGGATGCCCGATTTTAACCAATTTTGCTCAAATGAACTCAACATTTTCATATGCCTCTGTTTATCTTTTAGCAGTCTGGGCACACAGGGCTCTTCCTGGCTCTCCGGGGAAGGTTTCTTTCTGTCTCTGCAGCTGGCAGGGTGGCAGGCTGGGCAGGGCTGGGAGGGGCCAGGGGGCCCCAGGGAGCCCCGGGGGTCAGCAGGAGCCTCAGATCAAGACTTCCCACAAGCTGTCCCCTCGCCCCACAGCCACAGATTCCAGTCCCACAAAGACCTTTGCCTCTTCTCCAAGTGGCTCAGCACTTCAGGATGAGGGTTCCTGTAGACACCATGGGAGCCAAAGGGCAGGGGCGTGCTCTCGACTTCGGGTCGTGGGCCTGGTCTCATTCAGCTGCCCTGCCTCTCCAGAGCACCAGCTCCCAGATAGAGGCCGGCTCCCATGCCGGCAGGGGCTGACCCATGGACCCGTGCCTACGTGTCTGGACTCCACACTACCACCATTCTGTCCAGCTCAGCCAGGGAAAGCACCTCATGGGAGAGGACGCTGCTAGGTCCAGAGACCTGGGATCCTGGCTGTGGGCCCCCTATAGTCCTCTCTCCAGGAGGACAGCTCTGGGTTCCAAAGGGCTCCCAAGGCCCCCAGGCCACCCAGTGACCCACTTCTCTATAAGGGAGGTATGGCCTCTGGTTCACACCAGGATTCCAAGGGGAAGCCCCAGAACTGGAGGACAAGGGGAGAGCCCTGGCTAGAGGAGGAGGGAAGGGGACCCCCATGGGATGAAGGAAAGAGGGGACCCCTGCTTCCTGGGTGGTGTTCCCTCAGGGGACCATCTGACCCCTGCCCTCAGCCCCTGACAGCCTCCAGCCTCCTCTCTTGACCCAACCCTTTCTTTCCGGCAGTCACAGACCTGGTGCCTCCTCCCTCCCACACAAGGAGAGATTCCTTGCTGGGCCAAGGGACCCCAAGGACAGCTAGGCTCTCTCTTTCTCATGGGGGGCACAGGGGTGGCCCTCAAAGCTGGTGCCCGGATGCAGACCACAGAGGGGCCACAGTCACTGGTAGCTCCGGATGGAGAGCTCTGGCAGCCCTGGGTACCGCAGCCAGACACTGGACCGAGGACAGAGAGCCACCCCTCCTGCCCACCTCCCCGCTGACTCCCTCCCCTGCAGCCAGCCTGAGCCAGGAAGGAGGTGCCCCAGGGGCTGGGGGGTCTGGCTTCAGGGGCATCAGGCATTACCTCCTCATGATGGAGTCCCCTTCTCGGTGTAGACGGTGCTCTCGGGGACCTGTAGTTCCAGACCCAAGCACACAGTGACTCAGACACTGGCCCTGCTCCTCCCACCCAGGCTCCTCGGGGTTTTATGGCTCCGTGTGGGTGTGTCCGGACAGAGGTCAGAGACCAGGGATCCCAAATGCACCGGCGACTCGTTCTACCCAGCTCGCTCCCCAGCTACCGTCACTCCCACAGCCCAGCCCACACCCATGAGAGGACCCACGGCCCAGCCCACACCCATGACAGGACCCACGGCCCAGCCCACACCCATGACAGGACCCACGGCCCAGCCCACACCCATGACAGGATGGATCCGAGGCAGCGGTGCCTCCCACCTCAGCACCCATGCGGGACCCTGCATGCCCCATGGCCCCTCCCTCTGACCACCCACTTGCAAAGTGTTCTGACAATTGCAGACCTGAGCTCTGCAACCCGGGGGCGCCGGACCCCAGACTGGGCTGCCTTTGCACTCTGGCATTCGGGGCACAGTCCCCTTCCTGGAGCTGGGTTTGCTCAGACACAGGCAAGGGACAGGGCTTCCAGCAGGGCGGAATGACCGAGGCCCGAGGCCTGAGGCCCAGGTGCAGCTGGGAAGTGGGCGCTCTAACAGGCGGCTGAGCCTTGGGTCAGAAGGGGGGGCGCCAGCAGCCTCCGGGAGGGCAGTGGGCACAGAGGCTTTGTGGGGGCACGTCAGGGAGGCAGCCCTAAACATACCTGCGGGCTCCCAGCTGTCAGTCAGGGCAGAGCCCCCCAGACAAACCGAGCCCGGCCTTGAGCAGTGTCGGCACAGGAGGGACCCCCGGGAAGCCAGGCGGCAGAGCCAGGGAGGATAAGTGACCGCGTGAGGTCAGTGCACACAGCACAGGGGGACAGTGCGCAGATCCGGTCTGAGGGAATCGCTGAACCCCCATCACCCTGGGGGAGAGTCCAGAATCCAAAGTGGCTACGATCTAGTTTGTTTTTTGTTTCTTTTTTTAAATGAAGAGAATCGATTTTTTGAGCAAATTGAGGTACAGAGAAAAATCTAGCAGAAAGTAGAGCCCTCACCCACCCACCCCGGCTCACCATTTCCCCACCATGGACATGTGGCATCAGCATGGCACACTTGTTCCCTTGACAAGACAATTCAAACACGAATTTTTCAACTGAAAATTACAAGACAGGCAAAGAAACAAGAGAAGCGTGATCACAATTAGGGGGACGCAGGTAATGGAAAGTGTCCCTTAGCCAACCTGGATGTCGGGCTTTGGGAACAACAGCTGAGCGGAGCCCGCGGTAAAGAACTAAAGGGAAGGATAATGAAATGTCTGAAGTAACTTCAACAAACAGAATTTTTTAAAGAATCAAATGGAAATTCTGGAATTAAAAAACATAATCACTAAAACTTAAAAATTCACTAGAGGGTTCAGTAAAAGACACATCTAAGCATTTAATATCTTTAAGTTAGATCCGCTCTTAAAGACGGATCGATAGAAATTGTCCAAGGAGGATATCCTAGGAGGCCAGTGTCACCCTGACTGCAGAGGCAAAGACAGTACGAGGAAAAGAAAAGCATAGACTGGTATTCCTCATGAACACTGACAACAAACTCTTAATAAAATACTAAAACACATAAAAAGGAATTTATTTTAGGAAGGCAAAATTGATTTAATATTCAAAAATGAATTACTATGTTGCACTACACTGATAAAATGAAGGACAGAGGGGCGCCTGGGTGGCTCAGTGGGTTAAGCCTCTGCCTTTGGCTCAGGTCATGATCTCAGGGTCCTGGGATCGAGACCCCAAAAAAATGAAGGACAGAGAACACATGAGCATTTTAATAGACGCAGAAAAGGAATCTGACAAAGTCCAGTTCCCACTTATAATAAAGGCTGGGAACTAGGAACTGTTCTAGGAACATGCCTGATGAGAAGGCATGTACAAGACACCACAGCAAAGTGAATTCAGTGTAGGACGGACAGCTTTCTCCCTAAGACTGGGTTGGAGATGAAGACGCGGCTCTTCAGCGCCGTACAGTCGATGCCAAGCAGTGCGGCAAGAGAAGAAAACCGCTACTGGAATGGAAAAGTAAAATCGTCTTTATTTGAGGAGGATGTGATCCCATATTTAGAAAGTTCTGAGGAATCCAAAAAGAAATTACTAAAAATAAATAAACGAGTATCAAGATCTCAGGATATAGGATCAACGTACGAAAATCAGTTGTCTCTATACACTAGCAATGAAAAATTTTATTGAAATTATGGGAAAAGTTGATTCAAAATAACACTGGAAACAATGAAATAATAAGAACAAATCTAATGAAAGAAGCACAAGACTAGCGCTGAGAGAAGTTACAGATCTAAACACATGTGTGGGACGCTGCGGGCCTCTGTGGGGTCAGTGTCTGACTCTTGATCTCAGCTCAGATCTTGAGCTCAGGGTTGTGAATTCAACCCCACACTGGGCTCCATGCTGGGTGGAGCCTATTTTTTTTAAAAAATCAAAATGCATCATTCTTTTAAAAAAATGCATCGTTTTTAAATGTAAAAGCTGAAATTATAAAACCCCTGGAAGAAAATAAACAAGAAAATTTTCATCACTTTGGGTTAGATAAAGAGTTCTTAAATACAACACCAAAAGCACAGTACGTAAAAGAAAAAAATGGATGTTGGACCTCATCAAAATGACCAAGTTCCGCACTTCAGAAGACACCACCGAGACAGTGAAAAGACACATCATGAACTGTGAGACACTGTTTGTGAATCATCTATTTGATAAAGGACTTGTATCCAGAATATATAAAGAGTTCTTACAACTCAATAATAAGACAAAAATACCCGACTGAAAAATATTCGGAACATTTGAACAGGTATTTCACCAAAAATATGTAAGCGGCTAATAAAACCATAAAGAGATGCTCAGCTAGCTTCATTAGTTATTAATATCGTTAGTTATCAATAACTAATTCGTTATTAGAATCAGGTTCAAAACATAGTGCGATATCACTACATGCCCTTCTGGGTCAGTGTTAGGGCAGAATTGCTGCCCCCAAAATTTCTATGTTGAAGTTCTCATCTTCAGCACCTTAGAATGTGGTTGTATTTGGAAATGGGATCTTTAAAGAGATCATTAAGTTAAAATGGGGTCCTCTGGGGGGCACCTGACTGGCTCGGTCAGGGGAACATGCGGCTCTTGACCTTAGAGTCCTGAGTTCAAGCCCCAGCTTGGGTGTAGAGATTACTTAAATGAATGAACTTGGAAAAAAAAAAAAATGAAGTCATATGGGTGGGCCAAATCCATTCTGATTAGTGTCCTTTTAAGAAGAGGAGATGAGGGGGGCGCCTGGGTGGCTCAGTGGGTTAAAGCCTCTGCCTTCGGCTCAGGTCATGACCCCAGGGTCCTGGGATGGAGCCCCGCATTGGGCTCTCTGCTCAGCGGGGAGCCTGCTTCCTCCTCTCTCTCTGCCTGCCTCTCTGCCTACTTGTGATCTCTGTCTGTCAAATAAATAAAAATCTTGGGAAAAAAAAAAGAAGAAGAAGAAGAGGAGATGAAAACAGGCACACACAGAGGGGCGGCCATCTGAAGACAAGCCCAAAAGAGAAGCTTCGGAAGAAACAGCCCTGCCCTTGGTATCAGGCTTGAAGCCTCCAGCATTGCAGGGAACCCATGGTGTAGGCACCCAGTCCGTGGCATTCGGTCCTGGTGGCCCTAGCTGACGACCACAGATGGCTATCTGGCTATTAGCAAAAAGACAATAACAAGTATTAGCAGGAGGTGGAGAGAGTGGAACCCTCAGACGTTTCCGGTGCCAGTGTAAAATGGTGCAGCCCCTTTGGGAAAAGTTTAGCATTTTCTTAAAAATTCAACCTAAGCTACCATCTGGCCTAGCAATTCCACTCTTAGGTACCTACCCAGAGAAGTGAGGCCAATGTCCACACAAACACATGTATAACGTTCCCAGCAACACCGTCTACTGTAGACAAAGCTGGAGACTGTCCAGGAGCCCACCGGTGGATAAAAGGGGCCCAGCCAGACCGTGGCTTTATTCACATTTTATTCAGCAGCAGAAGGGGCCAGTCGCTGGTAACATGCTGTTTTCCTTGCTGTCTTCCACCGGCTGGGAGCCGGGGATGTGGAGCCTGACCCCAGCCAGGCGGAGCGCCACACTCCATGGCCGGACAAATGCCTACCCGGCACCTTCTCTAAGGGGGCGCGGCGCAGGGGCTCAGGCACAACAGTGCCAGAGAAGGACAGGCTTGCCCTGGGAAAGCTGACGGCCCAGGGGCTTCAGGCGCTGAGACATGAGGAGGAGGCCTTCCTCCCAGGGTGTGAAGGCCAAACCAAGGCGAGCAAGAAGGAAAGTCTGAGCACCTGACCAAGGTCGGGGGTGGAGGGTGGGGGCAGCCCAGATACCTCCAGGCCGAGAAGCCGCCCAGGCTCGGCTGGCCAGGGTGTGCGCTCCCCTGCAGTGAGGTGGTGTGAGTGTGTGATGTGTGCGTGGTAGGCTATGCCCACCCCACCCCGCACAGCTCCAGTGGGGGGACGCAGTGGGAGCGCAGCGGTGGCGGCAGACGCAAATGCTCCCGTCCCTCCGCCCGCGTCTCCCAAGCAACAGCAGCCTCGGTCTCGGCTCGGCCCCTCCCCCGCCCCGCCCCGGCTGGGCTGCGAAGCGTCTGGAACCGCATCCTTCCTCCGCATCCTCGTCCTGCGACCGCATCGTGCAGCAGCTGCCCGTTGGAGCCGCCTGTGAGCCATTTCCACCTTTCTCCTTGTGGAGCGGGGGCAAGGGGGGCCGAGTGTGTGCAGGGGAGTGTGCACGGGTGTGTGAGGTACGTGTACAGGTGCGTGTGCGGTGCATCTGTGCGAGATGCGTATGCAGGGATGGGGGGGTCACTGCGGCTGACCCAATGGCGGCCAGGTCGAGCCGGGGTCCTCCCTTGGGGTCTCGGCTGACGGGAGCGGGGAACCTGTCCCCAGGCCTCCCGGACGATCTGGGGGCCTCCGCCGGGTGATCCACTGCCTGGACCTTCCTGAAGAACCGTAGGTATCCAGCCTTGTACAGACCCGACGACTGCCCGGATCTCCGCACAGTGGGGCAGCTTGGCGGGCGC